CTGAGCCCTCCTATATCACTCAATAATCAAGAAGATACCCCACAGATATGGCCACAGGCCAGTTCAATGGAGGCAATTCACCAGTGGAGGGTCCCTTAACCCAGGTGTGTCAAGTTGACACTAAAGCTATCCAGCACAGCATCCTGCTGGTGCCTCAGGCTTCTGCAATATTTCATGAATATTTCTTTAAGAGCATTTTTATAATAGTGAAATAATAGTGTGTATCTAATTCTGGCTAGCACTCAGGAGGCAGAGGAAGGAAGATCATGAGTTTGAGGCCAGCCTGGGCTACATAGCAAGATCCTGTCTCAAAACCAAAACCAAAATAATCAAGATATAAAAAGAAATAAGATAAAAGATTTTAGCTAATAGTCTGGGCTCTGGAAACCACACTGCATGTTTGGAATCTCACCTCTAGTGCTTTGTCATGCTGTGATTGTGGCTAAGTCATTAGATATTTCTGAGACTCAGCTTCCTCTTTCATTAATCAGGAATATCAAGGTTGTCAAAAAGATTAAGATGGAGCTGGAGAGATGGCTCAGAGGTTAAGAGCACTGGCTGCTCTTGAAGAGGGCTTGGGCTTGGTTCCCAGCACCCACGTGGCAGCTAACAACCATCTGCCTGTAATTCCAGTTCCAGGGGATCCAATGCCCTCTTCTGACCTCCAGGGTTATTGCATGCAAGTGGTGTACTTGCATATATGCAGGCAAAACACTCATACACATAAGAAATATCAAAGGTGCATAGGGGCTGAGGGAGTGGCTCAGTTGGTGTGGTGCTTGCTGTACAAACATAAAGGCCCGAGTCTGAGCCCTGGAACCCACTTAAAATCCAGGCTCAGACCCAGCACTAAAGAGTCAGAGACAGACAGATCCCTGGGGTTCACTAGCCAACAAGCCTTGATGAATCAGAACTCTAGGTTCAGTGAGAGACTTTGTCTCAAAAACTAAGAAGTACTAGACAGATGACTCAGTGGCTAAAAGCACTTGCTGCTCTTCCAGAAGACCAGAGTTTGGTCCTAGCACTCACATATGGTGGCTCACAACCACCTGTAACTCTACCTCCAGGAGACTCCCTCTTCTGATCTCTGTGGGCACTCATACACATGACACACACACATGCGCGCACACACACACACACATGCGCACACACAGAGAGAGATAAATAAAATCTCTAAAAAATAATAATAGGGCTAGAGAGTCAGCTCAGTGGTTAAGAGCGCTGACTGCTTTTGCACAGGATTGGTTCGATTCCCAACACCCACATAGTGGCTAACAACCACCCTAATTCCAGTTCTAGGGAATCCAACACCCTCTTCTGACCTCCATGGGCATTGCACGACATAAAAAACAATAAATAAAACATTTAAAAAAAATAATAAGGTGGAGAGTGAGAAAAAAAAAACATCATTGACTTCTGGCCTCCACATATATGTGCATATACATGCACATGCACCCACATGTACACACATGAACACACACATACACATATACCACACACAATAAAAGATACATGTATCAAGTGTTTGATAAATGCAAATGTTTAATAAATGCTGCCTGTCACTTTGTTAGTCCTGGGGCACCCCTAAAGCCCTATCATGTCAGGGAAACTAGATTTTGTACGACTCTATGAACTCAAATAAAATCCACATGTATCACCATGTTTTACATTAGAGTTTGGCAAACTCTTCCTAAAGGACAAAGTAGTAAATCCTTACGCTATTTCTACTGCTGAACTCTGCTCATGGGTGGGTCTTCACAGGAGCAGTAACTTACTGAACTGTAAGACCTACGTCTTTAGGTCTGCCCACCTGCCCAGACATCTCTCTCCCAACTTTCTGTCATGCTTAGCAACAACTTAGGTTTCCAGCCTCTAACCCAACCATCTTCATCCCACATGGGAGTTTCTGCACAGGAAACTCCCTGAACTGAAACTGTCCTTGGACAGTCCTTTGCCATGGTGGGCGCTTTACTCATCTGGTTTAATGGTCAGCTACACAGGGCCTCTACTCCTGACTACCCCATCCAAGAGGGCAGCTCTGCCCCATGTCTCTTCCAATGTCAGTCTCCATTATAGTACCCAGATGTTTCCAGAATAACACCTGGCAAAGTTTATAATGATCTAATTTATGCATTCACTGTGTCTCTCTGTTCCATAACGGCAGACGTCTGGCTTTCTTCTTTGTCCCTACAGCTCCAGCATTCCCATCCTGTTAGGAACATGCCATCCAGTAAATATTGTAGAAGGACAAAGGAATCCATAACCTCAATATCTTAGTTTCTTTTAAATTTAGGTTTGGTCCTGAATAACTTTATTATTATTATTTAATATTTTATTTATTACTTCGATTTTTTTGTATATGAGTGTATTGCCTGCATGTGTGTAAGTGCACCATGTCCTGCAATGCCTGCAGAGGTCGGAAGAAGGCATTGGCTCCCCTGGAACTGGAATTATGGACAGATGTTAGCTGCCATATGGTACTGGGAATCAAACGCAGGTCCTCCGTAAGAGCAGTCAGGGCTCTTAACCACTGACCACTGAGCCATCTCTCCAACCCCTATTATTATTATTATTATTATTATTTGTTTGTCGGGGGGAGACGTGTGTGAGTTCAGGCCCACGTATGTCACAGTGTGTGCTGTGGAGATCAGACAACTTTTGAAAACTGGCTCTTTCCTCCCACTGTAGGTTGTGGGGATCAAACACAGGTCACCCTCTTGCATGTCAAGTGCTTTTACCCACTGAGCCCCTTTACTGGCCCTCTGCTATGTCAGTAGTCAGGAAGTTGAGGCAGGAAGATCATAAGTTTGAGGTCAGAATGGGCCACATAGTGAGGTATAGTACGACTCTCTCATTTGATTCTTAAAACCATACTGGCAAAATGAAGAAATGAAGGAAGGAAAGGAAGGGAGGACAGGACAGCAAGAGGGAGGGAGGAAGGAAGGAAGGGAGGGGGAGGGGAAACTGGTCATTATTCTGCTCACTTTGCAGGTGAAGTATGTTGAAGGCGAGCAGCAGCCAGCAGCCGGTGTTGACACCTGGCTTCAACATGTCGGCATCATTTCTAGTATCGCCTGACCTTCTCCAGCAATACTAACCTTCGGGATTGCCCAAGAACACCAGGATAACCAGCAAGCTGAATTGCCAGGACATCTTTTCCCGGCCAGAAGGAAGCCATCTGGGGTTCATATGAAATTCTGCTTCTTTGAGAGGAAGCTGTTTTTGGTGGGGGAGGGGGCTAAAGCAAGGGCAAGAACAAAACAAACCCCACAAACAAGAAAAGCACCACATTTTGCTGATGTCAGCTTTGGCAGATGCAAAGCACACTGATTGATTTTCTCTGGATGTGCAGCCAGCCTTTGCACACATCACAAAAGGGCAAAATGAGTTTGGGAATCTGTCAAGCAGAGAACAGCTGAGAACCAGCCAGAAGGCTAAACATAACCTGGGCTTTTGTTCTGTTACCAGCATTGGTTGTTATATTTCCTCAGGAAGTGGACCCTGCTAGGGCACTGGATGATTATGTCGATGAAAATCTGTATTTATGGCCTGGGCACAAATTTGCTTTCAAGGCTTATTTTAAAATCTTATTAGCTTAACATGTAATTACTTCACAAATATAGTGTATGGGGATAGAATGGAGCCTGAGCCAGATTTGCCTTTCTTTTTTTTCTCTCTCAGATTCTCACTGTATGGATGAGGTTGAGGTGGACATTGGCAGGAAATGATGATGTCAGTGGGGTGAGAACTGCTACCCCCAAATATGGCACTTAGGCATAACTAAATGTCTTTAAGATGAAGATGTTTGCAGATGCCAGCAGGGAGGTCACGCTAATAAAAGGCAAAAGATTTCTGTGATCTAAAGAGAAACCAGAGTATTACGATGGTCATTCGCTGCTCTCTCCTCAAGCAGGTCACAAAAGTTAGGATTCTCTGACCTCCTCCTGAAGCAGGTCCTGTAACCCCACATGAGAGGTACTATCCTTGTAACTGGGAAAAGCAGTCACCCTTGTCTCTGAAGACAGAGGGACACCAAGAAGAATCCAAGCAGGCCTTCCAGCTTCCCATAGCTTATTGTGGTTAGATCATGTTCTCTGCTCAGTCTTATTTCTCCATGACCATCCACTTGTCCTCAAACTTAGCATAAAAACATTTAGGCTTATCCCTGTGCAGTGGTACAGGTCTGTGATCCCAGCCCTTGGGAGGTAGAGGCAGGAGGATCAGGAATTCAAGGCCATTTCAGCTATATAATAAGCTCAAGGCTAACTCAAAAAACAAAACCAAGGGCCGCTGGAGAGATGGTTCAGTGAAGTGCACACAGTGCTCTTGCAGAGGATCTAACTTTGGTTCCTAGCACCCATGTCAGACAGCTCACAACTGCTTATAACTCCAGCTTCAGGGGGATCTGAAGCCTCTGGCCTCCATGAGCACCTGTCCTCGTGCACATACCTACATACAGATACATACATACAAATAATTAAAATAATAAAAATAAATCTTTAAAAACCAGAAAGAAAAGTTATATATAATACATATATATGATATATATGACATATATACATATATCTCAGTTTAATTGTTCTCTGGTTTGGGGTCTTCATTTCCTTATGAAGTTTCCCATGTCACACAAAAGCTGAACTTGCTTATTTTTCTCTTGTTGATTTGTTGTAAGGACCTGAACGCTGAACCTAGAATCAGTGAAGGAAAGGTATTTTGTGTCCCCTACAGTTTGCAGAGGATGAACTGGAAGTATCTTGGAGCTTGCTTTTTCAGTGACTTTGGCCTTTCACTGCTCACTCTGTCTCGATGACTTAGAGGCTGGATGCCTCAGTGGAAGCATCTGAGGCCCACAGAGCTGCTGGAGCATCCTCGCCTTGCCATCAGCAGCAGCATCCCTCCAATCCTCTGACAGGAGAGTCATACTCTTAATGGACACTTAAGAAATTGGGATGACTACAATAACATCGGAGGACATGATAGGAAGAGACAGCACTCAGTATTTAATGTGCTCTGGATCCACTGAGGACAGTTTCTTTTTTATTAAATCATCTACAAACCATTTCAACAGAGATGCCCCTGGAATGGAGTGAACTAATTACAATGATGCTATAGCTGTATCGGGAAGAGTAGCTCTCAGCCAGGGAAGCAGATGCCACGGTAGCATACAAGGAATCTGGCAATATGGTTAGGTGTGGTCTTTCTTTTTTTATAATTACAAACTTTTTCCCAAATAAATACACTCGAATCACATAGAAAAAAAATGATACAATAGTCTCATAAATGAGAAAGAAATAAATACACCTTCTCAAAATAGCAGGTTTGGAATGGTCTATTGCATAACTCAAAGGCTTTGGGATGCTGTTCCCATCTTAGTGGCAACCATAGAACAGTACACATTTTTCCCAATACATATGTATCCCACACAGAGTCCACAAAGAGTTGAACAGCTGCAAAATTTCTGTGAATAATGGCAGCTAAGGAGTATCAGGTAAAATATTTGTAAGCACTGACTATATATTAAGTTTGACTATTTATCACTAATTTTAAGCCTACATACAACAAGCCTATGCATTTATGCATTTAACAGTCAAGTTATTTCTTCTGCAATTGAGAGGCAATCCCCCCACCTCCTTGCCTATGAATCTGTATTATAACTTGTCACTTTCCCAGGAGAAGTCAATGTTGAAGTGTTACAAAAGCAAATCCAACTTTAATCCTATGTTTAAAGATGAGAAGCACCTGCCTTCACTTAACAAAACATCTCCCATCACCTTTGTAATATGAACATTCATCTAAATAGATGTTGTCAGTCTTTCCCCGCCCTTCTTCCTAGTCTTATCCCTCTAACAGCACAACCCTGTCAGACTACATCGCTTCTTGTCCCCGCCTCACACGTGTGCCGGATTACAATTTAAATGCAAATCTCCTGGAGCCTCATTATCTAACTTTGTGCAGATTCAGTACACTTGACTGTGCTGATGCCTGTGAAAATTAATCGGAGGCTCATCTGTATTCTAACACATGAATATACTGGGAGTGAATTCAAAAGAGCAATTCATCGCTGCTTTTAAATTAAACACTGGTGTCGCCCGGTGCCTAGGTTGCAGAGGAATGCCTTCCTTTGAGCACACAGGGAAGCCTTTCTACAAAAGCAATGAGATAGGACTGTCTCTTCCTGTAGCTGTTTAGTGAGCTCCCCATGGCACTAAGTAATTGAAATAAGAGACTTCATTTTCATACGAATACAGCTAGTTGAGTGGAAAAGATACATCCATGGCAATCCTACTCATGGCAGGAAGACGATCTATAAGCACCCCAAACAAAACACGCAGAATGGTTACCAAACCCATACCGTTCCAGAAAGTATATATTTTTTTCTTTTCTTTTTTCTTTTTTTTTTTTGCAAAATCATCTTTCAAATATAAGGTTACTTTAAAATAATTCTTTGGTCAAAGTATAATTAAGATAAAAAGTAGAAAGTCTTCCAAGCCTTTCACTCCAGGGTGAAAAACACCCTGCTCTTTCAGCCATCAGATGGCCACTTAATCAGCCATTCAGATTAGATGAATCTGAATGTAAAGGGATCCCACCCATTGGGGTGAAGCGATAGACAGGAGAGCCTGGGAAAAGGACATCCCAGTGTGTGTATCAAAACGTGCCAGTTATTCTAGTGCATGCCACAATAGATGTGGTACTTTAAAATCACAGGAACAAAGTCCTACCTCTGAATAATAATGGGGCATGCACACATGTGTTGAAGCCAGAAGATGTTTAAACTTGTAATCCCAGATTAAACCCCTTCCCTAATTTCATCCCCTGGTTTATTTCAGGTGGCTTCGACAATTAAAAATATGTTGTAAAAGAAATCATTTGATTATTCTTTTCTGGCCCTTCCTTTCCTCCCCCCTCCCTCCCTCGCTCCCTCCCTCCCTCCTCTCCCAAATCGTTTGAATTAATAAGTGTAAATAAGCCTCAGATCAAAAAGAACTAGTATCTACTCAGGATCTAAGATCACAAAGAATTTTTGTGTGAATATGCAATTGGATGATATAGTTCTCTTTTACTATACATACATTCAATGAGATTTCCAAAGGATTGCTCAGATGAAATCCATGTTTAATTTTTTAAGTAGGCAAGCATGCAATGAAATTTTAATGTGAATTTGGATCACCCAGCCATTCTGATAAGCAATTTGAATAATTAAAGCAGGGGATTAAACTTTTTCTGTACTTAGTTTTCCACCTAAATTATTCAGAAACTTTAGTTCAGATTTCTATCATCTTTGGCTCTGTAGACAATTGCCCAGGACTCTGTCCATATTGGGCTAAGGACAGTGGAATGTGGCTTAATCAAACAGATTTATTTACTAGGACACCAGAGGACTAAGACAACTGAGAGAGAGGGGGAGGAAAACCTAGTGTGAACTTGATTTTGAAAAAGTACAGACACTGTGATGTTTCTCTACAGTTTCCAGGAAATCTGATGAGAAGTTTGCGGGACATATTCTGAGCACTCAAAGTCCATGGAAGTTCATGATGAATCTTAATGTGAGTGAAAGGTATGTTTGCCTCATTACAAATACCAGAAGAATGACATTATGTTGACTGTAATATGACTTCTAAGACTTTTAATGGAGGTATTTTCCTCCTAGATGATTGCCATGTTGGCACATATTTTACATATCTGTGTTTTAAAAGAATGTTGCTATAACACATACAGATTTGTTTTATACCAATGTTCCCTATAAATGGCTGGGGTTTCCCTTTGCACACACACACATTACAAAATGAACTATAGCATATCAGACCATTGTCTGTGACCCTAACAGCTATTCACACAATTAAACAGACATTGATGAGTAATGTTTTGGTTTGATTGTCATTTATTCTTGTCTTAAATAATCTCCCTCTAAATACAAGGAAGCAGGTGTGATGAGAATCCACAGATAGGATATGGCTCTCCAATGTCCCTCAAGTAGCCCTACCTCCTGTCTATTTTAAATTATCATAGAAAAGCAAACAAAAAGAGGACAGAGAAAGTAGCAGTGCAGTTGTGACTGTTATCATTCAAGTTAATTCCCTGACTTCATTAGACAGCTCTGGTGCATCTGTGGACCTTCTGTTCTGGCTAGCATGTACTGTGTGTGTACAACAACCCAACCCTTGGTATAGTTTATAAAAATGTATTGCACACAATGAGCTTCTTACTAATTCAAATACTGTATTGAACATACATCCTTCCAAGATGTCAACCTGCTAAACTACTTACCACAGTCTAGAGTCTAGGGGAAAAGACAAGCAAATCTTGTTGATTCAGGCAGACTTGGTGATTTCGAGGCGGAGGGGTCATTTCAATTTGCTTACTATTTGGCAAGTGCCATGCCCCTCTCATTCAATGAGTCACACATTTATCTTAGCTTCTAAGAGTACTTTGGAGAGCAAAAGTGCCTTTCTCCCCATTTCACAGATAGAAGCAAGAAGGACCAGCTGCTCTAGAGACAGTGTGGTGGTACCAGGGTCCACCAACATGGGGTCCTTAAGCAGGTGCCTTGGATACTGGTGTATGCAGTCTACTGAGGATGGAATCTGCTGTGTGACCTAAGGACTATTCTCTGCAGGGCCTGGGTTCTAATCACCATCAAAGCACTCCTCAGCTTGGCTTTGCCTGACTCTCAAATGGATTACAAAAGAATATCCCATCCCCAGTTGGATTCTGGACCCAGATCTTCCCCTTGCATGCCTCTGAAAAGAGAGCGGGGTGGGGCAGTTCCCAGGGGAAAAGTAAGGCTCTTTAGCCATGCATAGCCAGAAGATGAGTGACAGTCTCTGCTGCAGCAGGTGCCCCAGTTTAGGAAGACAGTTCTCCAAAACCTTGTTGGCTAGGCAAGTCCAGAGAAAAAAGAATTTTTTCCCCGTGAATCATGCCTTTCTCTCACAGACACAGTCTCACCGTCAGAACCCTAAGTACGAAAGGAAATACGCTAATGATTCTGAGTGTCCACTTGGAATGCAGTATGGGCTTTTCCACCATGCCTGAAAACCCAAGGACTCTTCTCTCAAAGGCCGGTTCTTTTCGTCACTCAGTTGCTTACTCTTGCAGCAAGGTCTCTCTCCAGTTGAAGCCCCCAGTAGGTCCATGGGTGAGGGGAAGGATGGGTGGGTCTGTCAGCTGCCATATTCCAGTTTCTCCTAATTCTTCACAGGAACAAAAGCCTAGATATGGGATCTGGAATGACAGTAGCAAGGAAAGGGAGAACAGAAGACTAAGAGTTAATGTCTTAAAAAAAAAAAAAATATATATATATATATGTGTGTGTGTGTGTGTGTGTGTGTGTGTATGTGTGCTAGATAGCTTTAGTTGTCAACTAGACACTCCTGAGTAGAGGAAGACTCAACTGGGGAATTGTCTCCATTGGACTGGCCTGAGGCTATGTCTGTGGGGCTTTTTCTTGATTATAAAGTGATGTGGAAGGGCCCAGCCCATTGTGGGTGTGCCATCCCTGGGCAGGTGGTCTTGTATTGTATAAGAAAGCAGGTTGCGCAGGGGCTAGGGGAGTAAGCCAGTAAACAGCAGTCCTCCATGGCCTGTGATTCAGCTCCTGCCTCCAGGTTCCTGCCCTGAGTTCCTACCTTGGACTCCCTCAGTGATGAACTGTGACCTGGGAGATGTAAGCCAAATAAACCCTTTCCTCCCCAAGTTGGTATTGGTCAGCGTGTTTTGTCACAGCGATTGAAGGCAAAATAAAACAGTATGAGTATTTTGCTTGCATGTATGTAAGTACATCATGTGTGTGCAATGCCCTAGAGGCCAGAAGAGGGCATTGGATCCCCTGGAACTGGAGTAACAGACAGTTGTCACCCGCCATGTGGGTTCTGGGAATCAAACCTCAGTCCTTTGAAAGAGCAGCTAGTACTATTAAAATGCTGAGCCATCACTCCAGCCTAGAGAGTTAATGTCTTAACTTTGACCTAGCCAAAGGCATTCAGGTGTTCTCAGAGCATACAAGTAGTAATGAATAGGGGCTCTGTAGAAACATAAAACCCTTCAAAAGCCAATAAACAACCTGAAATGGATGGAACTGATAATCAGAGGCAACAACATTAGCATACATCCTCAGGATCTGTTCAACTGTGAGCTCCCCTACTATATAGTTATGATTGCTGGTTAACAGGGCAGGAGAAAAGAGGCTAGAGCATGCACAGTGCTCCCACCTTAGCTACAGAGGGTATGTTTGTAGGCCTTTATGGATGTTTGAAACTTTGGATAGTGTCAAAACCTGTATATACTGTTTTGTCCTTTATTTACATGCCCATGATAAGGTTTAACTTATAAACTAGGCTGTAAGATCAACATCAATAATAAATAAAATAAACAATTATAACAATATGTTGTAATTAAAGTTATATGATAACTTAATTGTTATTTTACTGTATAGTATTGTATTTTCTGGCCACAAGTAACTGAAATTACAGAAAATGCAACTAAGGGTGGACTATTGTAACACTAATGTGTCAAGAATCAACTCCAACTTGCATATCAAGTTAAAAAGGCATCTCAGATGTCTGACATTATATTTGGACACAATGCGAAAGAATGTCCAAGTTTTTGTTGTTATCGTTGTCGTTTTGCAGCAAGGTGTCATGTAGCCAAGGTTGGCCTCGAACTCACTTGGTAGCTAAGGGTGGCCTTCAACTCCTGATCCTTCTGCTTCCACTTCCCAAGGCTGGGATTGTAGGCATGAGTCACCATACCCAGCTGATTATTCAATTTAAAAATTTTTTTATAACCCTTGTTTTATCTTTTGGGGGGAACACAGCACAGGAACTTGCACAATTTAAAGCAGAAGCAATTTAAAGAAGTGAGCACGAGCTTGCTAATGTCGGGAGTCATGGCAAGTCAAAGCTTAATTTGTGTTCTGTATCCAGAGCCACAGCCGTAAACAAGACAGCCACCCCTGACCTCCGGCCGCTTACAGAATAATGAGATGGATGGATGCCTAAGTAAACTTTTTTTAAATGAGAGAAGTATGACTGAGTTTAAACTTGGGTCTGTGTAGGCAACTGGGGTCACCTGAGGGGGACTCTGTCGGATGTGGCTGATGAAAATGTCTTCTACAGGCAGAAGGAGGAAGCCAGACATGAGGTCTGGCTTCTCTCCTGCTGTCTTGATCCTGTCTTTGCCTTTCAGCCTGGTCATTCCCAAGTAGGACCTTCCTCAGGCCTTCCTGCTTGACCCTCTCTATAGGCTAAGCTCTGGGCTGTGCTTTTACTCACCCCTGTTCACATGCTCTAGTGTTCCCTGTCACTTAAAACCCTTGGTGGCCTCCATAAATGTTAGCTCCTAGAGGCTGATGTGATCACTAACTCATCTTTCCCTCTCATAGGAGGCCTAATGAAGTGCCTCACACAGAGTCCCACCCAATACATCTTAGCTGAATGAATCAGTACTTGTATCTCCCCACTTCAGCAGAAATGTGTGCCTCAAAGAAATTAGTTATCGGCCAGTCAGCAGACTGTTAGGAAGCCATGTACCACGGGCTCCATGAATGCAAGAATGATTACCTTTCGAACCATTTGTACAAAGTCCTTGGAGTTCTGAGGGGACAGGCCTTGGAGTTGGCAGGTACATGCTTCAAGGGAAGATGCGTGGGCCACAATCAGAATGTTATTTCCTGGGAAGTGGGAAGAATATGTAAATACCTCATAAATATTGGAAGTTGCTACAAGTTTTGGTGAGGGACAGATATCCTCAAAATGAAGATAATTCACCCAAGCAATATTTTGAAAATTCTCCATTATTGTTATATCAACGTAATTTTATTTTCTTTAAAAAAATCTTTTTATTTTAGGTCAATTATACCCAACACAAAGGAATAATAAATGCTTAAGGAGAGGAAAAAGTAATTACCTTGATTGGATCATTATACATTGCATTAAAATCTTACTGCACTCTATAAATATGTACAATTATTATATGATAAGTAAAAATTCTAAAAATGTCTAGGAATAGAGTTCAGTGGTAGAGCCTTGTCTAGCATGCATAATGCCCTGGGTTTGATCCTGGACACTGCAAGTAAATAAGTGAATAAATAAATAGATTAATTAATAATAAATTTGGGAACAGGGAACCTACTTAAACATACTTTGTTTGAAAATACCATAATTGGGGCTGGAGAGATGGTTCAGTTGGTTAAAAGTACTTGCTGCTCTTGCAGAGGACCCAGGTTCAGTTCCCAGTACCCACACAGTGGCTCACACTGTAATTTGTTTCATGAGATTCAACACTCTCTTCTGGCCTCCATGGGCACTGTACACAGTGCACTTATATACATAGCAGGCAAAACACTCAGACACATAAAATATAAATTTAAAAATGCCATACTAATCTCAAATACCTTGTATGCTAATTAGGAAAACTAAAAAATTATTAAAGATGATCCGGGCGTGGTGGTGCACGCCTGTAGTCCCAGCACTTGGGAGGCAGAGGCAGGCGGATCTCTGTGAGTTCAAGGCCAGCCTGGTCTACACAGTGAGTTCCAGGACAGCTAGGGCTGCAGGGAGACCCTGCTTCAAAAAGACAAAAATAAAATTATTAAAGAAAAAAAACCCCCACAGATTCATAGGAGGTCATACCACACCATACCCTCCTAGACTAGAGAAGTCTCATGTCCCCTCACCCAGCCTCCCCCATGATTGCAACTTTCATGAATGTGGTGCACACCATAAAAATATGTGGAAATGAACAATGGTGCAATCCACATGTTCATTCATCTCCCCCGAGGCTTGTCAATACTGCTTCGTGTGTGAGCACAAAGTTCCTGGCAACTCTCTCGCCTGGGTGTCTTTTCTTTCTCCTTACATATGTGATCACTGTGTAACTATCACCTTAATCAAGATACAGAACAGCTCTGCATCCACTGAGCTCCCCACACTAGCTCTTCAAGTACAGTTTTAAATGTCCCCACTGCAGAGTTGTAAGCACTGGGGACCTCGTTGTTGAGGACATGTTTCATGTATCTTCATGGTAGTGAGTGGCTTATGAGTGGCTACTGGAAGGTGAGGACCATCTATCTTCTGTTGTCCAGGGCTACCCACTGTTAACATCTGCACGCATAGAATTGCAGTCTTGCGGCTGGAGAGATGGCTCAGCAGTAAAGAGCACCGATTGCTTTTGTTGATTCCCAGCACCCACATGTTGGCTACAAACCATCCTTAACTCCAGTTCCAGGGGAACCTGAAGCCCTTTTCTGACCTCCATAACATTGCATGACACGGGTGCACTCACATACATGCAGGCAATACACTCATACACAACAAATAAAAATAATAATAAAACATTAAAAGAAAAAGAATTGCAGTCTTTGCTCCATGAATATATTAACCTAAAACTTATGGTGAAGCCAGTCCTATATGTCACCAACTATTTGAGATCACTCTTTAAAAAACCCAACAGCAAACAGAGTTGAGCCTTATCCAACACTGCTCTTGGCTAGTGGCAACAGGGACAGTATATGTGTTTCTGTGGGTGAGTTTGTGTGTAGATGTTCCTGCTCCTGGTTCACCCGTAGGCAAATAGTGTTACTCTGTAGAACTTCTGGAAATTATAACAGGGAGTCCCCTCTATAGGGTACAAGATGACTAAGCTACAATGTAGAACCCTGGTTAGTATCATAATGAAGAGCAACGTGTTCTTGTGTCCTCAGAGAATATTATAAATTTAATGTTAAAGTCTCCACAGAGAGTGCAGAAACATATTTCTTTCCTATTAACTTTGTCAAAGCAAATTTGAACATTTTGAATAGCCCACACATCACGATGTAGAATTGTCCATTTTTTAAAATATGAAAAAGATAATACCACCTACCTTTACTTTTACATTCACTTATTATCTCTTTCGTCACTTGGAAACTTCTACTGATATACGTATCATAGGATTCTGAGATCACTAATTTGCTGACTGGAATGTGAGGTCTGCAATATAAAAATGAACAATGAGAAGGAAAACATTTAGACATTTTCATCCTGAGACAAAGCAATGGATAGTACTCTAAATACTCTAATGCCCCTCTGAAGTTCCCATGTTTCTGTTTATCCATTTTTCCAGAAAGGAAGGAGGTGCAGGGAAGAGAATTTTACTATGCAGATATTGAGGTTGAAATGCACAGAAATAAAGGCTACAGGTAGAGTGTCACAGGCATTCAGTGTATTCACCCACACGGACACACAAGCAGTCCCACTACTGTTTACTAACATTAGTGATCATTGATATTCCTAATCACATGACTAATAGGAAGCAAGGTGGAGATTACATCCCTTTGTGCAGATCATCACATCAGGGGCATCCCAAGTCTCTCCTCAGCAGCCTTATCCATAATGAGCTGCAAGGTGGGTTTGAAAAGCAGGTGTGCAGTCCATCTAATCTGTGAGCTTATGAAATTGCCACCAGTCATTTCTTTCTCTTTACCTCTTCTTTTTTTCTCCCCTTTGGTTATACTTTCCTTTTGGGTGTTTAAGACCCTACAGTTGGCCCAGATAAACCAATTTATTTTTACTCTTAAGGTTGTTTGAGGATCTGTTCCTCAGGGGTGACAATTACCTCTTCTTTTAAACCATGTACCCAGCACTAGAAAAAGCCGAGGGACATAAAGATGCAGGGCACCAAATTTCTCCACTTTAGAAGCTCTCTGTGTGGACCAGGGAGAGGTTATAGAAGTAAAACATAACTGTGACACAATGTACAAAGGCATGTAAGAAGAGGGTCAAAGCATCCTTACTGGTGACCAGTCACCAATGCCCATGGGGCCCACTGCAGCCTGTTTCCACACCCCCTTACATTTTAGACTTTATGGCCTATGAGATGTGGATCTCGTTTTTGAGTACAACTATGTCCTATGCTTTTTCTATTTTCTATTTGTGTCTTTCATTGTTGAATATGTGGTGCCTGTTGTAGGTGGTGTTGAATTCTCAAAATAACTCCACATGGCATCTTATAATACACTACTACTGTTAGAATTAATACTAAAAATATTTACTGAGAGGTTCCCATGTCAGGCTCTATGTAAGAACTTGGCCTGAATTCTTTCAGGATAATCTTCCCAGCAACACTTTTGTGAATTTTAAGTTTCTGAATGACAACACAGGCTGAGGTAACAGCTGACTTGCTTAAGCCTTTAGAAACTCTTAGAACTGAGATTTGAATCTGAGTCTCAGATGTGCCCTGGGAACTGAATGACTCTCTTATATGGGACAACCCTGACAGTGTTCTCCTCAAGATTTCCCTTCACTGCAGGGTGTGGTGGCACATGCTTGTAATCTTAGCACCCAGGAGGCTAAGGTAGAAGAATTGCCACAAGTTGAAAGCTAGCTTGGGCTACATAGCAAAATTCTCTCTCATATAATCAACCAACCAACTAGCCATACAAACAAACCAAATCCTTCTGAGTTTCCCCTCTGTGCTGTCTTGCAGACAGCAAGCTAATTCTGCTTTATTTGAAGGAAATCTACTTGTTCTTAGCCTTTATTCAGCAGGCACATTTCTCCTAGTAAAGATCCTCCTGAATCCCACCACACCCTGGGGGGTAGGTAGAGGCGAGAGTCACCACCTGTGAGGGATGGATGTCTTTGCTCTGGAGTAAACTCTTCCTCCTCCTCTTCTTTCTCCATCCCCACCTCTCATGCAGTTCCACTACCATTTACATCACCCTGTCTTCCAGGAGCTCCCCTCTCTCCCTCACTCAGAGACAAAGTGACACTTTGTATGGTCAGGGAGTCACTTCAAGGGTGAAAACACATTGTCCTATTTGAGATTTATGTAGAAACAATAGAACAGATAGGAGAATCTAGTCCTCACCAATTCTTGCCTTTGATTTCTTCCAGCACTTTGAAGCATGTCCTGCTGGGTATGGGTCCCACTCTGAATTTCTCCTCTAAGTAGGGTCTGACACACTGCTTGCTATACCCGAAAGGCCCAGTACTGTCTTTAGAGTCAGGTCAGCTTCCAATCACTCACTGGACCTGGAATTCAGTACTCTAACTTCTCAGATGGTTCTTCTAGCACTTTCCCTTGGCTACCCTCTTCTCCCTACCCATACTGCTCCAAGCTATAGTACAGGATCCTGCTTCGAGCCCTAGCCAAAGCTTGCCTCTCTAAGCACTCCAGATCCATGCCTTCCCTCAGTTCTCTGTGCCCCTCCCTACGCCAGGTGTCAGGGCCTTGCGCTCTGCTCTGAAGTTTTGCCAGGCTGGCACACATTTTGTTTGTTCTCTCCTGCTCCCTGGCCCAGTTCCCCAATGCTAGGCTGCTTTCTACACACAGCCCACGGGCTGGTCTTGCTGCTTGTAGATGATGCTTAGGTATGAGTCACCAGGCTAGTGAAGTTCCCTTGCTTGGTTTCCAGCTCCCTCCCTCCTGTTTTGTACCACTGCTGATGCAAGGAGCCAGGACCCTTGAAGCACAGTGTGCTCTACTCAGGCTACCCTGATGCTTGGGATTGTTTCTCATCCACCACTTGGCGCTTTACTTACTTGTTCCAAAGGTGTGTTCATTGGGTGCTATTTAATGGCACGGGGGTTAGTTAACTCTACCATGGTGCCTCTCATATGCTTTAACTTTGGCTTTCCCAACTGATTTATAGGATTAGAGATTTCATAACCCCACTTCAAACTGATAGGAAATGTTAAATTGAATTTTAAAATGGAAAAGAAAATCTGAAATAAGGACCATGTCCTGATCCAGTGATCCCCAGCAGTCATCCTTTTGCCTGTACAACTGATGGGCATGTGGTCTGGGTGTGTCTGTGTGCATGTCTGGTGGGCACTGAAAGGCTCAGTGAAGAAAGATTTGTGGAGCTTTGTAGGTCACAGAAAGCATCACAGAACACCCAGAGGGGAACTGAAACTGAGCCATCCCAAGCTGACCTGGATGGGGCTGGACGGACAGAGATTAGAGTTACTTCCCCAATGTCAACGATAACTTGATCTCTTTCCTGGCCAGAGGGGTGATGGCCATTGGCATGGGGACCATACTATTGTAATTTACCCTAAGGAATAGAAAACTGTAGCCAGAAAGAGGACAGGACAAAATACAAAGTGTATTAGTACAGGACCCATGCTTTAGCCAGAAACTCAGTGGTTCAGTCATGGTGTGAGTAGGTATTTGAAAGGAAAGATCCACACAGCACAAGGAAGAAAGTTCTAGTTAGACTTGTCACTTATGCCATATTCTGCCCTATGAAACAGGAGTTTAATTTCCTACTGTAATGGTTGTGATTACTGTCCTTCCTCAAAATATCTGAGTCGGTTTTTTTAAAAAATGTATTTATTTTTATTTTATGTGTATGAGTGTATTGCCTGCATGTGTGTTAAGTTCACCTGTATCGTGCAGTGCCCACAGAGGTCAGAAAAGGGCATTAGATCCCCTGGAACTAGAGTTATAGATGGTTGTTAGTTGCCATGTGGTTGCTGGGAATTGAACCCAAGTTCTCTGCAAGAGTGGCCAGTGCTCTTAACTGCTGAGTCATCTCTCTAGTCCCCTGAGTGGGCTTTTGATAGATACTGCCACTATATTATTATTATGATGATTATTATGATTATTATTATTTGTCATTTTGAGACAGGGTCTCCCTATAGCCCCAGGTGTCCTGGAACTCACTATGTAGACCAGGCTGGCCTCAAACTCACAAAGATCTGCCTGCCTCTGACTCCCAAGTGCTGGGATTAAAGGCGTGTACCACCACACCCGGCTCTGCCACTTATTATTATTGGTTAACCTTTAACTGGGCAATAGTGTGGTCTAATGGAAAGAGCAATGAACAGGGAGGAAAATGACTAAAGGTAGAATCCCCAGAACGGGAGATACGGAATAATATCAATAAATGTTATCTTTTACAATAATGCCTGTATTATGATTCTTATATATGTGGTGGTCACTAAATGCACTATCTATAGGCAAGCCACCTGAATTCTCTCATGCAAAAAAATGGATGGCCTTCTGGTCTGGGTACACAGCTCAGTAGAGTGCATGAGGCCCTGGGTACAATTCTCACCATCACATATGCACACAAACACACACACATACAGACACACACAGACACACACACAGACACACACACACACACACACATGCACACAGTAGCTTCCTCAGTTTCTAGGATCATAGAAAAGAGAATTAAAAATCCTTAGGAAGCCAGATATAGCTAGCCCACACCTGTAGTCATAGCACTTAGGGGGCTGAGACAGGAGGATCATGAGTGCCAGGTTGGCCTGGGTTACATAATGAGCCATTGTCTCAAAAGGAGAAAAGAACAAATGCTTTAGAAGATTGGAAGTAAAAAGACACCATTACCTCCCTTATCCCTCAGTGAGTAGATGAACTGAATTATTACTAATATGTATGTGTCCCTGAAATACAAAATGGCTTTATTATCACATTCAAACAGGTATAACAAAGGTAGGAAAATCCAGCACAGAAGTAAGCTGGGGGAGGAGTATAATTTATACTACTAATAATTACGAAGGAATACTGGCATTTCTGCAGTTTTCTTTTCATTGACTTCCACCACTATAGATAACTCCCTGCAGGCCTTGCCTGTCTTTCAACTGCTTGATGAATGTGGCCTGGCGACAGTGTAGGCCACAGTGGCCTAGGGACGCAGCAGGTCAGAGATTACCTGTAGGTTGTATCAACACTCAGGTTGGCTGCAGCTAACTCTGATGGAGGTATCCACGCAGGTAACGTGCTCCCAGCAACCCACTTTGTCCACTCAAATAAGCCTGGCTCGACCCGAATCTTCAAGTGATTGTCTTGTTGTAAACCTTAGACATGAAGCAAAACAAAGACAGAACAAGTTCCTTCATGTTGTCAGTGGAAAAAGGAGTCACAGGCTAAATTGTTACAAAAATTCCAATTCTCCTTCTACTAGATTCCACATAAAGTGGAAGGAAAGCAGAGCATGTAGGACAACAATAAACTTTGTGTTTTGTAGTGTTATTTAATATGTAAATTATATTGCTATACGTAAAATGAGGTATGGTTTAAAAAAATTAATTTTGTGAACACGTGGATTTAATCTGCTGGTTGTACTAGCACAAGGTGCACAGACTGTTTTCTGATTTAAGGGCATGTCCCCTAGTCATTACTAAGATAATTTGTTCAAATCTGTGACTTTCTTTTTTAAGTTTGGAGACAAGAGTCACACCATGTAGCCCAGGCTGGCCTCAAAGTCTCAATCCTTCTGTGTCAGCCTCTGGTACACTGGGATTACAGCATCACCACACCCAGCTCAATTCTGCATTATATAGCTCCTCTTTCTAAAGTAAATTCCATGATTACTTAACAACAACAAAAACCTTCAGATAGTCTCATGGCATTCAGTACTGTACAATAGCTTATATTGTATTTGAACATCATGTAAATTATTCATTTCGTCTACCAGAAAAACCTAATGTTGAATATTTACAAGTGCCAGGGTGATTCTCTCAGAGCAGGAATCACTTCTTTATATTCGTTTAGCTCTCTGTATAGTGCATTTAGACCAGTTTCTCTGTGCAAATTAATACACAAGTGTCTTCTGTAGTGAGCAGAAGGTTTACTTAAGGTTAAAGAAGAGAGGACTTAAGTGTAGTGTCAAAGTCCTTGCTGGCTTATTTCTGGCTTATTTGTTTATCTGGCTCAAGTTCACAGTCCATCACAGTCCAACTCTCTCCCACCCCCGCGTCCAGTTTTCCTTCCAACGGAATGAGAATGGGGATCTTTCTGATGCAAACTTCATGGATTTTAAGGTAAAAGTTGAGTGTCCAGATAACAATGGGGTTTTTGAAGTCTTTCCAATTAACAGAAGAAATAGGAAGGTGAAGATGTGGCATTCCCAGCAGCCCCTTACTGCTAGAAACATGGCAAACAACAAATCAAAGCCAGGTAACAATCTATTTCAATGCAAAGAAAGGATCATTTCTGTAAAGGGCATACATATTTTGTAAGACTACAATCTATCCAAGACAGTTTATACTTAGGAAAATAATTATTAGTATCCTGTCTTATCTGGATCACTCTGTCAGAGTATAATTTTGTATAAGGTCAGTCATCATGTGGAAGAATCCTTACTGAAAACTCTAGTTTCGTGCCAGGAGTGGTTGCTCATGCCTGTAATCCTAGCACTCAAGAGAGGAGGTAGGAGGATTGCTGCAAGTTTAAGGGTAACCTGGGATACAAGATGAGGTCAAGACCAGCCTTGAGAATCTCAAAAGACAAAACAAAATAAAACTTACAGTTGGTAAAGATCCCTTGCTCTGTAATTAGGTGCCAAGAAACAGGGATGGAATAGGTAATGTCAACCCGAGTCTTACCTTTCAATATATTATGTGCAGTCTGAACACAGCGTAGGGATGGAGAGCAATAGACGTGATCAATAATGGTGTTACTTTCTAATAAGGCTTCACCTGCCAAGAAAATGAAAAGGAGAGTCACTGTAATAGATCTCCTTGGCTTCATCTTGACACTCAATGTAACGATTGCCAAGCAGACCCCATACACCTCTCTTTCCCAGTGGGCGTTCCTGGAGATCAGTAGTGTCAGCCAAATCCCCTCATCAATGTTTCCATGGAAGAGGCCAAGCAGCGTGCCTCTTGTCTTTTCTCTCCTTTTTTCTGGTGCCAACATGTGGCAAGATGTCCTACTAGAAGAGACCTCCAAATAGGAATGATGCTCTGACCTCAAATAGGAAGATGTAGAAACCTCTATATTATAACAGGGAGAGGGTTGATACTGTAAGTTAGAACTTGCTATCATTTCAATGTGCTAACCCAGATCTCAACTGGAAAGACTCTTGGACACCAGAAACCCAACATCTGATTCTTTAGTGCTTTCCTCATGGACTTGACTTCTTCTCACTGCCAGGTCAACTCTGAATGCCTTCATGTGGCAGCCATGAACTGGTTTAACTTGCCAGCCTCATTCTTGTTCTACTTCACAGCTTATGCTCCAGAAATAAGAACTTTATTCCCTGTACTCTGACACTATTTCTTTTTTTTAAAATTATTACCATAATATGTGAGCATGTGAGTGTGTGTGTGTGTGTGTGTGAGAGAGAGAGAGAGAGAGAGAGAGAGAGAGAGAGAGAGAGAGAGAGAGAGTGTAGTTGCACACATGCCACAGTAAGTGTTTGGAGGTCAGAGGACAGCTTTCTGGTTGGTATTGATTCTCTCTTCCCAATTTTATGTGGGTTCTGGGATTGAACTCAGGTCACTAGGCTGGTGCAGCAAGCACCTTTATCTGTGGAGCTTTCTTGTTGGCCCCTCTCAGTCTCCTGATGTTATTTCTATCCTCTGTGGCTTTGTTTCTGCTGTCTTCTATACTGAGAGTACCCTTCTCTCCCTTCTGCTCCTTTATTCAGATGACTTCCACAGCGGGTTCCAGGCTACCTCTCTCCTCTTAAATGTCTTGTCTCCCTCCTTTTCTCTCTTCCTTTCTCCCTCTTTTCCTTTCTTTCTTTTATTCTCACAATGTTACATGCAGAGTTTATTATTCAGTAGACCATACAGTCTGCTATTCATCCACTACACACTTAAGTACGTTTCCATGAAGGTGGGCCTTTACACTTGGGTCCCCATTACCCAGTCCAGTAACTTGCATAAAGTAAATGTTAAATTATGTATATGTTAAACGACTGTGAATGTCACCTATAGGCTCCAAGTATCTGAACACTGTATCCCCAGTTGGTGGAGCTGTTTTGGGAGGTTCAGAAGGTGTGGCCTTTGCTGGAGCAAGCATGTCACTAGAGACAAGCTTTGAGGGTTCAAAGCCATGTTCCACTTCCAATCTGTCTCTCTCTGTTTCTTGTCCTTGCTTGAAGATGTGAGCGCTCAGCTTTCTGCTCTGGCCACCTCTGCTGCTAGGCTTCTCCCTCATCCCTCTGGAACCATAAGCCCATAGCCAGTATAGAAAAGGCTTGCAAAGAACTGAACATCTTCAAAACATTATTAGGCTTCTGCAAACTCAGCAATCTTGCACCTTCTCCCTCACCCTCACTTCTCAAACCTATGCTGCCAGATGCTGCTGTCTTGAACTAGCCACTGGCACATCTGCTAGACCAATGATATCTCAGCTTTCAGGAGGCTGAAACAGGAGAATTCCATGTTCTAGGCCAGCTTGGTCTGTGAGACCTTGTCTCAAAAGGCACATGGACAAAAAACAAAACAAAACAAAACAAAACAAAAAAAACAAAGTAGAAAAGGAAGCCCCAGGAATGTGCTGGCACAGACATGGTACCAGCCTTTTTAAGGAACCAGGAAAAGCCATGTGCTCACTCAGGATCCTTACCCACGAGTCTTGCTTGCATACACCCAAACACAGTGATTGGAGCATCTTTCTCGTAATCCCGGAAACCACCACTCCGCTGAGGTAAGCTATGAGGCATGTTCAGGTTGGTGCGTATGTAACGGCCTGGAAAAAAGGAAATGGTCAAACAAAAACTGCATGAACTCCTTGTTTACTTAGGACTTTCCTCCTTGATCCTTAACCCCTTCCTTCTTGACCAGAGACACTGAATTGAGCCATTTGAAGCTGATGGAAAATACTGAACCTGATGCTTTTTTTTTTCCCCCAGTAGACTGACTTGGAATACTCTCCCTTCTGCTGATGACAGTGACAAGGTTTCTAAGTGAAGATAACAACCAGACACAGGCAAGTCTCCCTATCTTAAAATGCCACTCGAATGAGAAGGGAAGCAGATGGCACACGGTGATCTAATACAGGACTGTCTTTGAACTTAAGTTTGCTGTATGACCACAGGCAAGACACATTTATTCTTTGCCCCTTCGTACCCCAGTTTGTAGAATGAGGACAAGAAAACTTATATCTTCCCTAAAACTCAAAATAATCAAGAAGGACTTAGAGAGTACAGAAATTTTCTAACTATAGTGAAAGCCATAAATGATTCCATGTACATAAATGAAGCATAACTGTGCCCCCTAGAGGTCATGACAGATATGCAGTGCTGAGCAGGCCAACCTTTTAGAGGTAAGACAAGTACTCCAAGACCCCCACTGGATGCCTGAGACCACAGAGAATATTGCCTCCTACATAGACTCTGCTTTTCCTACACAAACACACCCATGATAAAGTTTAATCTATAAGTTGTTCACAGTAATGACTACTAATAAAATGGTATATTGTAATGAAAGTTATACAAGTGTCTCTCATGGGGATGGAGAGATGGCTCAGAGGTTAAGGGCAGCAGCTGCTCTTGAGGAGGACCTGGGGTGGGTTCCTGGCACTGACCTGGTGGCTAACAATCATTATTTTTAACTCCAGTTCCGGGGGATCTGATGCCCTCTTCTGGCCTCCAATGGCATTGTATGCACGATTGCACTTATATACATGCAGGCAAAATACTCATACACCAAAAATAAAAAATTTTGAAGTCTCTCACAAATTATCTTATTGTGCCATACTTTTCTTTCTTCTTGTAATGATGTGAAAGGCTACGGTAGCTATGTGATCAAGTAAGAAGCAAATGATTCTTTGATATCATGACAGTGGATTTCCTAAACAAGACGGCTATCAGGCAACTAACGGGTGGGCAGCATATATAGTGTGGATACAGTGGACAAAGGGGTGACTCATCTAGGTAGGGCATAGTTGGACAGTTTGAGATGTCATCACACTACTCGGAATGGAGTGCAATATTAAACTAAGGCGGGGCGTGTTGGTGCACGTCTTTGATGCTAGCACTTGGGAGGCAAAGGCAGGCTATCTTTGTGAGTTTGAGGCATAGTGAATCCAGGCCAGCTGGGGCTACAGGGAGACCCTGTCTCAAAAAGACCCAAAAAACAAACAAACAAACAAACAAACAAAAAAACAACTTATGAATTACTTTCTAGAATTTTCCACTTAATAATTTTAGACTATGGTTAATGACGGGTAACTGAAATCACAGAGAGTGCAAATGAATCTGTGGAAAGGCTACTGCAACCCACCTTTGGCATCAAAGCACTGGGATAGCCAGTACTTCCCAAACACAACGTCCATCCTCTCCCCATGCCGACACACAAAGAGGCATCGCCTCTGGGGTCCAGGCTGGCTGTTGACTCTCAGGGGCTGCAGAGGAAGAAACACAGTGAGGCAACATATAGCATAGCAGACCCACCCCGGGGCCAAACGGTCTGAGCTCCAGGACAAACCCTGCCAGCACGTGACTTGGGCAATCCCCATTACAGTCTTTGGCTCAGTTTAGCTTACTGGTAAACTGAGAATGATAAAACTCATCCTGCAGATGTGGCAAGTTACTCTTCAGCAAGATGCAGTGTGGGTGCTTTGTAAAGTAAGAAAGGCTAGGGCTGGAGAGATGGCTCAGCGGTTAAGAACACTGGTTGTTCTTGCAGAAGACCCGGGTTCGAATCCCAGCACTCACATGGCAGCTTACAACTGTCTATAACTCCAGTCCCAGGGGATCCGACAGACTCTTCTGACCTCCGGGGGCATTGCACAACGAGGGTGCACTTACCCACATGCAGGCAATACACGCATATACATAAAATAAAAATAATAAATAAAAAATTTTTAAAAGGCTATGAAAAAGTGCTGGGGTCATGGGTGTTGCCGTTGCTATTTTTCATAGATTAGCATTTGGCCCCTGCTAAAACAGGGGGGCTACTTGAGTTACAGCCCATGGGTCAAACCAGCCATTAATATAAAGACAGCCATCTAGAGGGACAGCTGTCTCCCCCAAAGGGATGTGTCATTAGCTCCTTCAGGGAGAGAGGACTTCTGCTGTCACACACACACACACACACACACACACACACACACACACACACACTACTTCCTCATGGCTATTTTCCATTCAGTGTCTCCTGCCCAGTCCGTGAGGCCCTGCTTTGCATATTATAATCGCCGTGACCTCTGTTGTCTGACTACACTCATTTATATTTCCAGAAAGGATTCAGGAAGGGCATCTGCTGCTTCTCAGTGGTGACACAGGCAAGTTGACTCAACAAGTCCAGAGGACTTTGGTTTCCATTACTGCTGGTAGAACCTCATAGATGTTTCCACATCCTTCTTGCTGATGCGTCAGCTGTTGCTGGTTCCTTTGGTGTGCCGGGTCTTTGCTGGCCAGCACTTTCCAGTGGTTTCTTGTTGCTCTGCCAAGGCTGGTGTGTGGACTGATGATGTGGACTTTCCATCCGCTTTCTCTCTGTTCCCTAATTCAAACCCTGGGTTCCAGACAGAGTGCACCTCTCTCTCCATCCTCAACTGCAGAACTTTCAACTTGCCCCTGTCTGCTCTGCTTGACATCTCCCCCACTCCTCTCTCCAGTCTGTTCCGGAAATGTTAACAGATATTGAGCACTCAAAGTATGCCAATTACTGTGCCAAGAGCCTCATCTAATTGATACAGCTATGGCTGTTATTCCTTTTTAAGGAGAAAACCTCCTTTTCTCTCCATGGGACTTCCTGGCTTCCCAGCCTAAACTCACATGGTGGTGGTCACAGCACCGCTCATCTGACCTTTCCTACTCTGTTGGGTCTTTTATCATCTTGTATACCGGCTCCCTATGAGGTCAGGGGATCCTCAGGAAGTTGGGGCAATGCTAAAGGTGGGCCTCAGAGAAGCCGGAATACACCTGAGGATGTGATCTTTACGATCAGCCTCACCTGCATGGGCTGGCAGACGATGGTGAGGGGTGTCGTCTCTCCCAGGCCCTGGTCTTCATACTGCCGCCTCTCTAATATTCCATCACCAAATGTGAGCGAGCTGGATGATGCCGTATTTAAGATGGAGTAGGAACTGCAAAGAAAGAAGAGGAAGGGGTTAACTGTTTAGACTTGAGTCATTGGTAGTTTAAGCTCAGGCTCAACAAGTGTGAGGGAATTAGTACAAGGCACTGTCTGGTCTTACAGTATTTGGGGAGTGTCCTAGTTTGTATCTCCATTGCTGTGACAAAACACTGACCAATACCAGCTTGGAGAGGAAAGGGTTTATTCAGTTTACATCTCCCAGGTCACAGTTCATCATGGAGCCTAAGGTAGGAACTCAGGGCAGGAACTTGGAGGCAGGAGCTGGAGCACAGGCTATGGAAGAATGGCCTCTTACTGGCTTGCTCCCCTGGTCCCTGCTCAGCCTGCTTTCTTATACAACACAGGCCCACCTGCCCAGGGGTGGCACCACCCACAGTGGGCTGGGCCCTCCCACATCACTGAACAATCAAGAAGATGTCCCACAGACATGGCCACAGGCCAGTCCTGTGGAGGCAGTTCCCCAACTGAGGCTCCCTCAACCCAGGTGTGTCAAGTTGACACTAAAGTTATCCAGCACAGGGAGCTATGCAGGGGGCATCCCATCCTCAGGCAGGAACATCTTGCTTTTGACTGAAGTTAATAAACAAGGGGCAGGCAGTCCTTGGAGCTAAGAACAGACTCACACATCCCTCTGGGCGGAGATGTGGTCCAGTGATTCTGGGCTTATTAAGATGCTACAGGCAGGATTGGCACCAAAGGCATGTTAAAGAATAATGAGGTATCAATTATGTACCACTGCTTCCAGCTCTTTTCATTGTTCCAGTGAAATAAACAATTCCCATTCCCTTTAATCTTTTCCATGGCAATTTCCATCTGAGGAATGAGAGGGAAGATTTTTTCCCCCCCAGAACCACTTTGCCAGTGGCTTCTAAGGCTCTCAGGAACTTTACAGCCCTTATCCGGTATTCTGCCCTTGTCGGTCTCTAGCCCTATGCTCACCTCCACAGCACCTCGAAGACGATGATTAAAGACTGAGTTATTTCACAGGAGATGACCCTACCAGATGTTTAGAGTTGTGAGCCAAGAACTCTCATTTCTGAGTAGACCACTGTAACTACCAAAGCCCAGGGATTTGGCTGAGGGTAGAACTGTCAAAACATGTCTCATTGAAACTGCTTTGGTACAGACAGACTTCCCACAAGCTTTACCTAATAAGCACTACTATTTAAGTATGGTCATTAGGCAATCCAGCAAATGTCTCCTGGGTCACCTGGCAGTCTCAAGAGAGAACATTTGTATTTTCAATTTCTTGCTCTTGGTTAGGCCAAGTTTGCCCAATCTAGTCCCAGTAGCCAGGCAACCCTCTCCCGTATTCATCTTTAACACACTATAATTATCAGAATTTTATTTTTGAAAATATTAAAAAAATTTTTCTAAGAGCATTAAGCTAACTATTTGTTAGGAGTTCTTTTTTTTATTACCTACCTCTAGTGTTTTTATTGACACATATTCATTGCACATAGTATGTGGTTTCATACAGAGTCATACAATCATATAATGTACTTTGACCATGTTCTTGTCCATACTCCCTCTACCCTGCCTCCTCCCCATTAGTTCCCCACATTCTCTTAGACAGCCTCACCTCTACATATGTGTCATATAGACATACATGATTTTATGGACCTATAAAAAATCTAGGATTGATAAATGTGAGAAAATATGCAATGTTTGTTTTTCTGAGTCTGACTGAATTCACTTAAGATGATAATGTCCAGTTGTATCTATTTCCCTGCAAGTAACATAATTTGTTCTTCTTTCTGGCCAAATAAAACTCCATTGTGCATATTTAGTATGTTTCCGTTGTCTGTCTTTCTTTTGATAGATACCTATATTGATTCCGTAACTTAGGTGTTGTGAACAGCGCTGCAGTAAACATCACTCCCCAAGTGTCTTGTATTTGGACTTAAAGCCTTTGGGGGTAAATACCCAGGAATGGTAGAGCTGAGTCACGATTTTTAGTTCCAAAAATTGATTTTAATACTTTATATTATCTTTTGTTCCCAGAAGTGCCCCTCCCTTTTATTTTTTACTATAAATGATAGACTGGTTCTATTTCTTTTTGTTTGCTTTTTTTTTTTTTTTGAGACAAGGTTTCATTTAGCTCAGGCTGGTCTCCAACTTAATATAGAGCTGAGGCTGGTTCTGAACTTCTGATCCTTCTGCCTCTATCTCCTGAGTGATGAGACTGTAGGCATGTACCACCACACCTAATTTATGCAATGCTGGGGGTCAGACCCAGGGCTTCAGGAGTGCTAGGTAAGCAGACTTCCAACAGAGCTACCTCCTCGACTGACCCATCATATTTCTAGGACTCATTCTAGATGTAGGCAAGGGTCTTAGAAGCCTGAGACCCTGAAAAAGAGATTTGTAACCCATTGCATATCAGACTTACCAGAAGTCCTTTAAAGCTCTTGCCTGGGTCCTGCTCCTCACAGACTATCACTCAGCCTATAGAACCAGGAATCTATAGCTCAACAGAGCTGCATCAATAAGTATGATGTGCAGCCAAATTAAACCTGTTATGGGCAAATTCAAGTAACTGGAGCCGGGGGAAATCTGTGCCATTCACACAGTCTAATAGAACAGCTGTTCTCCTTTATTTTAAGCAGAGACCCTCCCAAACAGCATACAGTTGAAGAAAATTCAGTTTTCCTGTCTGGCTCATCAAAACTTCAGGACTCCAACATCTAGCTGTCTGGAACCACGCTGACATCTCACTTGCCTGTGCCTGTAACTTCTTCATCACAGCTGGGAAGACACTGATAGGACCCTTTCTTTCTCCCTCCAATTCCCTTGGTGAGGAGGATGGCAGCTTCCTTCCCTTCTTCACTGTCACTAGAATCAAAGGACCTGACTCCCCCTGAGACAGCCCATGTGTCAGTGCCAAGCCAACAAGGCCAGATGCTTTATGGGAGAGCAGGGTCGGGAGGAAGCAGGGACAACATCCAGAACCTCTTCTCAGAGATCAAGGTGATACCAGCTCTTGCCTAGGGCCTAAAGTAGCTCACCCTACTCCAGAGGACAGTGGGGTGACATCACCTGGTAAATGCCTATCAGCACTGAGGACCAGGTGAGGACCAGAAAGGGTAATGAGGAAACATTCCCTTAGGGACTTAGAGAAGCACGTGTGTGTGTGTGTGTGTGTGTGTGTGTGTGTGTGTCCAGGGTAGATGCGGGGGGGCGGTCAGGGGGTTGGGGGTAGGAGGGTGTCTAAAAGCCTAAATCCTCTCTGCAGCTTCTCCCAAGCTAGCCAGGTCAAGCTGAGCAGCTTGTGGGTCTTCGGTCTCTGTCTAGCTTTGATTAGGAGTGAGAAGGCCTGCCTTTCACAGAACTGGCCTCTGCCCCGTCAGTCATCACTCAGGCTAAGCAGCGAAATGAAGTTCATCTATAAGACCACTGTTATGGAAGAGACATTTGATTTAATGAGGGTGTAGACAAGGGCTTATAAACACAAACGGAGGGAATACTAATCAAAGCCCTGGTGGTCATTGGGTAGTCAGTGCTGCTGGGTAGCTGACACAGATCTAAGTAAAGCTAAACTCTGTTGAGGTTGCTATAACCTCTAAGGTGTGTGTGATTATTATCTCTTTTACAGTGGTCCCAAGAATTAATTCACCTTAGCCAAGGTTTACACAGCAGGTAAGTAGGAGAGTCAGGATTTAGATCCCAAACACTGACTGAAGCTCAAATCCTTAATCACAGAGTCTCAATGCCCAACTCTTGTATTTCCAAACTGTTACCTGAGTTGACTGTGGACCTGACAGTTTAATTTCCCAGTTCCCAGGAAATAACATTACCAGTAATCTTTCACAATAAAAGGAGATGACACACAGACTTTCTGTAACACACTGAGTGAAGTCACTCAGCTTTCTTCATGGTTGGGCCTGTGTTGCAGCTCAGGGAAGAGCAGGTCTGGATGTAGAGGTCTTACATGAGTTAGCAGACCTTTGCATGTATATTCTTCTCCCACATACAGCCCCGCTGTTACAATGGAGACCTGCAAGCTGTGGTTCATCAGGTAAACAATCTTCAGTTCTCAGTAAATTCACTTAACAATGGGGAGATGGTCTCAGAAGTGCATCACTGGGTGATTTTGACTTTGTTACTACAATACTATGCGACATGGCCTATGGGACCACTTCTGTATACAAGGACTGTCACTGACTTAAATGTCATTACACTCACGATGCATGACTATTTTGTCTTACTTATTATTTTTATGTGTATATATGTATGTGTGCATGGTGGGGTATGTATGTGTGTGTGTGCGTGCGTGCGTGCGTGTGTGTGTGTGTGTGTGTGTGTAAAAGACAGAGGACAACTTTGGGCATTGGGCATTATTCTTTAGGCACTGTCCATTTTTTTTTTCCTCCTTTTTGGTCTTTTTGAGACAGGGTCTCCCTGTAGCCCCAGCTGGCCTCACTATGGAACTCACTATGTAGACCAGGCTGGCCTTGAACTCAGAGATCCGCCTACCTCTGCTTCCTGAGTGCTGGGATTAAAGGTGTGCACCACCACGCCCAGCTGTTTCTTTTTAAAGATTTTTTATATATTTTTTTAAAATTCAAGATGGGTGTGGTGGCATACGCCTTTAATCCCAGCACTCAGAGGCAGAGGCAGGTGGGTCTCTGTGAGACTGAAGCCAGCCTGGTTCACCTAGAGAGCCAGTTGGGGCTCCAGGTAGACTGTGTCACAAAAACAAAAACAAAGAAACAAATTTATTTTTATTTATGTGTGTGTGTGGGGGGGTGCTCTCAGAGGCCAGAAGGGGATCAGATCCCTTAGTGCAAGAGTTACAGGTGTTCATAAGCCACTCAATGTAGGTGCTAGGATCAGAATTCTGGTCCTTATGATTGAGCAGCAAGTGCTCTTAACTGCTGAGCCGTCAATTCAGCCCCTTTAAAAATATTTTTTAATACATTTTGTGTGCATGAGTATGGAGGTCAGAGGACAATCTTCAGGGTGGGTTTCTGGTCATCGGGCTTAGCAGCAAGCACCTTTGTCCACAGAGCCACCTGGCCAGCCCCCTTCCCCCCCCCCCTTTTTTTCAGATAGTCTCTCACTGGCCTGGGACTTGCTAAGTAGCCCAGGCTGGCTGGTCAGTGAGCACGGGGATGCACTTGTCTCCACTTTCCCAGTGCTGGTAACAGAAGTGTGAACACTTTACCAGTTCAGCTGTCTCCCCAGCACTTATTTTTATGAGATAAAATGGTGACTTTGGAGACCCAACTCACGCATTGTAACCTGAAACGTTTCTGAAGAAAACCAAATGTTTTGGGGGCATGGGCTGGGTTGGAGGGGTGGCATGTAAGGTAGAGGACAGAAGAGTGTGTGTGGTTTGTCTGCTGTTCCCCAGAGCAGGGGACCTCCAGTCAGTACACTTGCAGAAATTGCCCTTCTGTGTCCTTGTATGGCAGAAATAACGGGGGGCACCATGCAGCTGGCGTTCAGGGCGTCTACCTTTCAAACACATTGCCACATGGCAGAAACAAGAGAGAGGAAAACCAAACCAGCATGTGCACCCCGGTGAGGTGCCTGAGAGGCAGAGGAGGCAGGCTTTAAGCGCCTCAGAATAATTAGGAGGAAGTGCCGTTTGTTCCTATTTATTTCTATCTGGGACAAAGCTGGCCATATAACACAGGCCACTCTGGACATGGGACCCCGATGTGGGCTCAGGACAAGAGAGCAGTGAGGGACAAGTAGAAAGCTGTCACCTTAAAGAAGGATGTTAGGCTGTGTGCTCCTGTTCAGTTCTGACAGTTAGCTATTAGCTTGAATACAGTCTCTGTTACCTAGGCATGTATGTGCCAAGTCTGAGGACTTGCTCAAGGTCACCTAACAAGTGAGAGGTATTGTTAGGGCTCTGACCCTTGAATCCTTTCCATTATTGATTTGCCTGGCATAGAAGGAATCCATCTGAAAGTTCTGAGAAGTCAGGTGATGACCCGGGACAAGTTAAACAGAAACTAAGCAGTGTATACTCAGCACTGCATGTTGCCAACTTCTGGCCAGAGATGGAGAGCAGCCTCAGATTAGCTTCTAACCAGAAACCCAGACAGACAGTGACATTAAATGGTACAGGAGAGCAAGCAAAAAACAAAACAAAACAAAATAAAACAAAACCCTACTTCTTGGGCTGGAGAGATGGCTTAGTGGTTAAGACCACTTGCTGTTCTTCCAGGGACATGAGTTCAGTACCCAGCACCCCCTGGATGACTCACAACTATCTGTAACTCCAGTTCCAAGAGATCTGATATCCTCTTCTTGTCTTTGCAGGCACTGTGTGCACATGGTATACTTACACACATGGAGGCAAACACACACATAAATAAAAATAATAATAATGATGATGATGATGATAAAAAGAAATCCACTTCTCATTTATCCCAGGCCTCAACACAGCTGGCTGCCTTCAAGTCTGGAGCCACTACAGTCCTCCTCATGGGCTCCAAGTACCAATACTGCCAGTTTGTGTGCCTGGGGTCAAGTCCACTTCCCCACCACCTCCAAGAATCTGCCACAGTAGTGTTCTTACAAAACACCAGTGCAGGTCTGCAGGTCCACTTACCCATGAAAGATCCAGGTGCTACACTCGTCGGCCTTGGTAATATAGTTCTCAGGCAGCAGACCCGAGCAGCCAGTGGTCAGCGAGGTGCCGTAGATCCAACCCTCACTGGTGCTGGTCTGTTCCATTGGAGACATGAAAATGAAGTCCCCAGGGACCAGCTCCAGTTCATCATCATTCTGGGGTGTATAGGGGTAGATCACCTGTAATGTCTGCAAAAAGGAGAGCCTGCATGAGACCATTCTACCATTCTTTTGAGTGCCTCAGAGGCAAGACTGTATTCTACATAAATAGTGCACCTGTTCAAGTGTGCCACACATAGGAGTCCCTGGAGCCACAGGCTCTGGGCAGACCTTGGCTACGATCAGGAAGTGCTTCTTCTTTAGCCAAGGTTTTACGGGTAGGTACTTGGTGCTCCTGAATGTTCTAGGCTCCCCTACTTCACTTCCCATCAGGACTCAGAGATGAGTTTTGGAAACTCATCTGAAAGCTGGAAGGTTCCCCCAGCAATTGTTGGACCAGTGGACTCAGATTCATTTCCCCTGTTCCATCCACTGTGTGGGCACTAGGGCAGACAGGGAGACTTCAGTTTATTCAAAGAAAGTTGTTCTCTAGGCCAGGTTGCAGATGGGTCAGATGGGGGTCACTTCTACTGGAAGGTATGGGAATGAAGGATGGTTTATCTTCCTTTCTTTCTTTTTTCTTTCCTCCCTTCCTCCCTTTCTCTCTCTCTCTCTCTCTCTCTCTCTCTCTCTCTTTTTCTTTTTTCTGTATGTGCTTTCATGACTTTATGTGTACCATGTGCATGCAGGGGTCCATGGGGGCCAGAAGAGGGCACCAGAACTCCTAGAACTAGAGATACAGATGGTTGTGAACCAACATGTGGGTGCTGGGAACTGAATGTGTGTCCCCTGCAAGAACAATAAGTGCTCTTAACCACTGAGGAAGGATGGCCTTTTCTGTGTGACTCAGCTGTTGGAGCAAGACATGGTTTTTCTTTTCTTTTTTAAATTTTATTTTTCTTTTTTATTTTACGGTGTAAGAGTGCTTTGCCTGCATGTGTGTAAGTGCACCGGTGTCATGCAATATCTATGGAGGCCAGAAGAGGGCCTCCCCTGGGACTGGAGTTATGGATGGTTGTCAGCCTCTGCCATGTAGGTGCCGGGAACTGAATCCAGGTCCTCTGCAAGAGCAGTCAGTGCTCTTAACCACTGAGCCATCTCTCCAGACTCCTTAAGGCTCTTTCTTTAAGCCTGGACTTTTAACAATGGTCTTGAAAGAAAATTATCCTTCCTAGACATCAGCGCATGTATTTGTGGGTAACCAGCTTCTACCAGTGAGAAGATAGAGACCACACAATCTTTCCTGACTACAGAAAAGTTCCCCAAGGCAACCACAGGGCCTGATCACATGGCTGATTTATTCTACTTTGCGGGGGGGGGGGCAGGGGGCTTCTTTCTTGGTGTATATAAACATCATGGCCCTGGGCCTGAAGGAACTTTAGATATTTATTTTATATTTTCTTGCTAATGGCAGGAGACCTCAATAGGAAAGAGTGTTTCCTATCGTTTTTGTTTCTGGGAGGACAGCGAGATGGAGAACACTTTCACAGCCTTCCCTGAGGTCCTGGAACTGGTCGTGACAGGCTACAAATTCTGGTTCCCATCTCCAGACTTTTCAGCTTTGTTTGTTCTTCATTTTCTCATCTATAAGTTAAAACCTGTACTACAAATGTTAAATGTGACCCTCTAAGAAAATTCTAGTGGACATAGCTTTGTATGCAGAAGGGGCATAATTACTTCTAGTGGCTTGTGATTCCTGATCTCCTGAGTGACAGCACCTATGCAGCCAATCCTGAGCCTGGGGCCACATGCAGGTGGGCCTGTGAGCTAGCCTGATGTCAAGGTGAGCCACCAAAATATGTTAAAGAAAGGGCTCTAGGCAGTTGGAGAGATGGCTGGTGGGTAAGAGCATATGCTGCTCTTGCAAAGGACCTAAGTTCAGTTCACAGTACCCACATCAGGCAGCTCACAATCACCTGCAGCTCCAGTTCCAGGGGATCTGACAACTTCTGTACTCCAAAGGCACCTATACTCACATGTGCATAGCACCCCCATCCCCACCAAATATATATATTTTCAAGGGTTCTGCTGTTTGTGGTGGGGCACAACTATAATTGTAGCACTTGGGAGGCTGAAACGGGAGGATTGTCTCAAGTTTCAGGTAAGTCTGGTCTATCTAGTGAGTTCTAGGCAGCCTGGATTACATAGTGAGATCTTATCTCAAAAAAAGAGGGGGTGCTGGAGAAATGGCTCAGCAGTTAAGAGCACTGGCTGCTCTCACAGAGGACTTGGGTTCAGTTCCCAGCACCTACATGGTGGCTAACGGCATCCTTAACTCCAGTTCCTAGAAACCTGACACCCTCTTCTGGCCTCTGTGGGCAGTAAATAACACAGGTACACTTACATGCAGACAAAACACTCATACACATAAAATAAAAATAAATACAAATTTTTTTAAAAAAGCAAAATAAAACAAACAAGCATTTTCTTCTGAAAATCACCAAAGAAAAGAGGCAGGAAAATGTGGTTTCTCTCAGAGGAGTAAGTTGGCAGAGCACAGGACTGTCTCCCTGGCTTCCCATTTGGGGAGCTTGCTTGTCTCCTTAACCCTTTTCTAGTTACCTTTCTGCTCTTGGTCTGCCTGCTTTTTGATCACCTCCTTTTTTCCCTCTCCTGACCCTCTCTAATATTCATGCAACAAGCGGGCTTCTTTGGATTGTTACAAATAAATTTTAAAGGCTAAAAAAATTTCACAAGGACTCTCTTAAATCTCAAAACTGGGTATGTGGTGGTCCAAAGCAACATTCCTTTTCCTGGAACAGGGTGGAGTCAAAACTGTCTCTTCAGCTACCTAAGCTCAGCAGGGTTTTGGCTAACAATACCTCTGGCCCAGTGAGCCTTCCCCTTGAAAAGCTCAAAGCAGCTCAAAGAAGCCCTCATGTGTTCCATCCCTTAAAGCTGAGGATTTGCTTTCTGAATTTCCCACCAAGGTACAACAAAGGTTGAAGATAATATATCCTAAGAATATGGTAGTAGAACAGAAATTAACTTCACTTTAGTAGATGAATTAAGGGATTTCAACAACTCTAACATGGTAACTGGTTGGCCAGGGGTGTAACTTAGTGACTGAGTGCCTGCTTAGCATGTTCCAGGTATTGGGTATGGTTCCCAGTGCATATACATAGACACACACACACACACACGCACGCACGCACACACGCACACATGCATGCACGCACGCACGCACACACACACACACGTACATATAATTACAGGAATCCAGGTACTCCTTGCTCTTTCCCACCCCCAAAAGTAGATATCAAAACTTAGCCCAAGTGTGAGGCATCAGACCAAGCCTAGCTTGACCCACATTACATTATGTTTAGCATCTGTTTCTAAGAATTCTTGAGTCAACCTTAGTTTTTCCTTCCTCATTACACCAAAGAGACTAAACTCAAAGTTGGCAGACTGAGGATAGTCACACGTTTGTAAAAACAGAAGGAAACCACTGCCTTTGAAGTCCTTTTTATTCTTAGGAACAACGACAGCTGCTGTGATTTCTTTCCTGTACCTGCTCTATGCTGGGTATGGTGGTGGTGCCGTCTTTCCGCACATCCTCTCAAATCTTTGCAATGGTCTAGGAAACATCTCTATCTCACAGAATGGAAAACCAAGGACTGGAGAATTATGCTTTTGTTATTGTTGCTGTGTGTGTGGGGGGGGGGTTGTATGCCGTGTGTATAAGTGCACATGGAGGTCAGGAGAGGGTGTCAGATCCCCTGAAGCTGGAGTTATAGGCAGATGTGAGCCCCTGACTTGTATGCTGGGAATTGAACTCAGGTCCTCTGGAAAGTTCTCTTAATTGCTGAATTATCTCTCCAACCCCATCCTATTTTAGTTTTTAAGATGCAGTTTCTCATTGAACCTGGAGTTTGCTGATTGGCTAGACTGGCTGTTCAGAAGCCCCAGGGATTCTCCTGTCTCTGCCTCCCCAGTGTTGGGTTACAGGTGTGTGCCACTGTACCTGTTAGTATTTTTTTTCCTTAATGTAAGCACTAGGGATTGAACTTGGGTCCTTATGCTTATATGGCCAGCACTTTACTGACTGAGCCATTTCCCCTACCTGTTCTTGCTTATTTATTTGCTTATTTATTTTTGAGTCTCATTTATCTGAGGCTGGTCTTGAACACTTTGCAGTTGAGGATGCCCTTAAACATCAGATCCTCCTGCCTCCACCTCTTGAGTACTGGATTACAGGTGTGCAATGCCACATCCCATTTCTTGTGGAGCTGGGGATCGAACTCGAGGCTTCATGAATGCCAGGCAAATACTCTATCAACTGAACTACACCTTCAGCTGACTATGTAAATTGTCAACATGAATCCAACTACTGCTAAAGTGAGGAAGCCAGGATGGAAATAGGGGTGCTAGGCTCTTAAATGTATGATTTTCATAGAACTCTGTCCTTCTACATTTCTATGGCTTGGCACGTGAAGTAGGGTGGACCAAGGTCATCACTAACATGGTAGGGCTCATGTAGGCTACAAACAGGCATCTGTGAGTCTAAATCTACCAAGGATCTGAAACAGCATCTAAAAACTTGGCAGCCTTCCTAACCATCTCTGGGTCTTGCTGAGTGTCCTTACCTAAGTCCTTCTCTGGACATCTGTTCCCCAGTCGGAACACAACCAAGCCTCCCTCCTGGAGACAGACTGAAGGAGGAGGAAGATGAGAACCTCACATACCCAAGAGGCTTCGGAAGACCAGAAGACCCCAGATGGACCATAAAGGGATGCAGACGCAGAGGGCCTTACCAGAAGGAACTGTAATAAGCAAGCTTTCACAAATATGAGACTAAAGGGGCCAAGCTATTTTTAGAAAATAATTCATGTAGGCACTTGCTGTCTCTTTCCTTCTGTGCCAACGGAGGAGAATGTGGGTCAAGCAAAAAGGCAATTACCCTTTGAGTTTACTGGAGGGCAGTGTTGATTAGAGGATGGGCCCGGGAAAATTCCCAAGCTACCTTCTCTTACAAAGGTGACTTCTCAGAGCCTATGTACATACAACCCTTGACCTTCTTTCACCTGCTCTTGCTCTTGGAAATAGTCTGACCATTGACACTTCTCTAGTATCTTTAGGCTCATTCTAGGTGATTCTGACAGATGTAAGAATTCTTAACATCAGACAGTTTGCTTAATCCATCTCAAAAGAAACCAGTATCCAATGACTGAAGGACAGGACATACATACCTCACCCTGAAGCTTTGGTTCATAGCCTGACCCTTCCCAACACTTCCAAAACAGCCAAACTGCCTCGGGTTCTGTTTTTGGGGCTTTATTTTTCAGGTTAAGAAAGTATAAAAGTTGTAAAAAGACTATACACACTAACAACAAAACCCCTCAGTTCTTTTGTTGAAAAATTGGGAAACATATAAAATTGTTTAGTAAATATAATTAAAATGGAAGACAAATTTTTCATCTAGCCATGGTAGTTCTCCGTAACTCCATAAAAGTTATGGTTCACTCCAAAACCCCGAGAGTATGACTAGAATCACAGATGGTGCCAAACTGTGTGCGTGCATGCGTGTGTGCATGCGTGCGTGTGTGTGTGTATGTGTGTGTTTGTGTGCAGGAGGGTGTATAAAAATTTAATTTATAGATTATGAATAGTAGGTAATAATAAAATAGAAAAGTTCTAACAATATTGTAATAAAAGTTATCTAAAAGCTATGGATTGTTTATTTCTGAATGTTTTGATATGTATATGTGTGTTGTGTGTATGGTGCATGCATATGTCTGTGCAGGTGTGTGTACCCATGTGTGCACATGTGGAGGCCAAAAAGGGATATTGGGTGACCTCCTCTATCTCTTTCCCTCCTAGTCCCTTGAGATAGAGCCTCTCAATGACCCCGAGGTACACCATTTCAGCTAGGCTAGCTCCCATGATCCTTTTGTCCCTATATCTCAATTCTGAGGTTACAGTCACATGTAGCCATGACTAGCTTTTGCATGGGTGTTGGGGGTATGAACTCAGGTCCTCATGCTTACACAGCAAGTGCTCTTACTCACTGAGCCATCTCCCTAGCTCTATTTCTGAAATAATAGCTTTAGAGTGTGACTGACCTCTGACCACCACAGAAAGGGAAATGCAGGATACAAGGGGACTGCTCCACACAGCCTTCCACTAGGTGGGTTGTCCATCTTTATTGGTCAAAACCTAGGCTGTTTCCTCTCTGGCTCTCAATTGCTCTGCAACTTCAAAGCAGATGCTTAACCTCTGTGTCTCCTTCAAGATAAAAAGGGCAACTTTCCTCTTCTGAGAGACACATGCTTGACTAGAAAACCATGCTGACTGCACCCAAAGAAGGATGCCAAACTCACACCCCTTTGTCTAGAGCAGAATCCAGCAGTCCCCATGCATGTCTCCCATTGTGATATACACAAACTCTCACAAGCACCTAGGTAAGCTTTCTTTTTATATTTCTCCTCTCTCCCTTGCTAGACTCAAAGCTCCATTAAAATGTTATTTTGTATGTGTGTGTGTGTGTGTGTGTGTGTGTGTGTGTGAAGTCGGAGGACAACTTGCAGGAGTTGGTTCTCTCCTTCCACCAGGTGGGTTCTGATAATCAAACTCAGATTGTCAGGTTTGACAGCAAGCACCCTTACTCACCGAACCATTTCACTGGCCCTCAAAGCTCCTTGATTGCAGAATTTTAAAAAATTCTGGGGGGGCTAGAAAGACGGCTCAGTGGTTAAGAACACTGAATGTTCTTGCAAAGACCCAGGTTTGAATCCCAGCACCCATGTGGCAGCTAACAACTGTTTGTAACTCCAGTTCTGGGGGTTCTGACGCCCTCTTCTGACCTCCGTGGGCATTGCACAGTACAGGTGCACTTACACACATGCAAAATATACACACACATAAAATAAAAATAATCAAAAATTTTAAATAAAAAACATTCTGGCACATCCAGTGGTACCTTACATGCACTAGACATCACCCTGTCAGCAAACACCTATGGACTGTGCCTTTGCAGGTTTGCACTTTGGAATGCTTTTATACTTATGCGTTGTTCAATTCATCCAGAGTCGGCATAATGCTTTTTATGAACATCAAACATTTATATAATAGTATTTTTTCCCTACATCTTTTCTATCTCTGTTTTCTTCCTATGTCCCAACTGGCAGGGCAGACAGACTCACGAGGATGTTACCTAGATGAATCATGCTGGGATACACATGGTCAATCTACAGAATCAGCAGCATTTCACAAAATCTAGAGTCTACTGACTCCTCGTCAGGTGCTCCCTTGCTCACTCCTCTTTGGTCCCTGTCACCCCGTGTCACTGGCCCACCCCCCCTTTGTCCTGAGTCCCTGTGTCGCTAGGTCACACTTCAGTCTCCATTTCTCTGTATCAATGTGTCACTCCCCTTTGGTCCCCATCTCCCTGTGTCACTGAATCACTCCCCTTTGACCACCACCATCTCCCTGTGTGTGTCACTGGGCTACTCCCCTTTAGTCCCTATGTCCTTGTGTCACTCAGTCATTCCTCTTTGGCTTCTGTCTCTCTATTGGCCAGTAAGTGCTCCTGATTCTGGCCATGCCCGGGACGAGGAGGAGTCACAGTGAAATATTACCTCATGGTTAGCAAATCGGATGTCCCGGGAGAATATGGTAGCCACCCAGTCGCACCCTAGCTTGACATCAATGTTCTGGGCAAGTTTCTCTAGGGTGGGTAGATGGCTTGCTTGGAAGTGGTAGGCCAGGGTCACATGCAGCTGCTTCTTATGAGGCTCCACGTGCACTTCTGGAAAAAGGAAGGACTCTTCAGGGACTAGAACAAGAAAATCACAGCAGTGGTAGAGACTGAAGAAAAGGCACAGAAAGGGCTGGAGAGATGGCTCGGCGAAGAGCACTGGCTGCTCTTGCAGAGGACCTGGGTTGGTGTTCCAGCACCCACAGGGTGGCTAACAATCATCTGTGACTCTAGTTCCAGGGGATCTGACATCCTCTTCTGACCTCTGTGGGCATTGCATGACACAGGTGCACACACACACATACACTTATATGCATAAAAATAATACATAAAAAATTTTCAAAAGGCACAGAAAGGGGGCTAGAGAGATAGCTTGGAGGTTAAGAGCACTGGCTGCTCTTACAGAGAACCAGGTTCATATCCCAGCACCCACATGGTGGCTAACAACTGTCTGTGACTACATTTCCAGGGAATCCAATGCCCTTTTCTGTCCTCCATGGGTACTGCATGGCATGGGTGCACTTACATACATGCAGGCATAACACTCATACACATAAAAATAAATAATAAATAAAAAAATTAAAAGCACAGAAAGGAGCCCCCAGACATTCTGATCTCCAAATAATAAAGGATCAAAGACCTGGGAAAGACCCAGCAGAATGAAGGGGGTGGATCCCATACCCTCAGCCTGTTATTCCAGAGTCTAAAAAGCCACAGGATTGGGTTTCCTGTGGGAGCTTCGGGTGCACTCAGATTCATCTTTTTGACTGACTCCTCCTGAAAAGCCCAGCTGATCATCACCAGCCCCACTGTTCAGATGAGAAAAGCCAGAGACATAAAGCTGGCATACTAGATGTGGAGTACAAAGCAGGTTTGGTAGTTATGTGGCAGCTTATGGGGTGTGTGTGTGTGTGTGTGTGTGTGTGTGTGTGATGGATACCCTCAAAGTATAATCCAGGTTCTCTCAACAACACTCGAGTCAATAGCTATTTGTAGGGGCTGTCCTGGACATTATAAGGCACTGAGCAGCACCCCCAGCCTCTACCTATTGGAGACCAGTAGCACTCCCTTAGTTTTAACAATGCAAAATCAAATTGCTCTACAGGTTGTCAAATGTTCCTTCAGGTGACATTGCTTCAGGTTGGAGTTCACTGATTTAATGTACATAGACTATTATTCTAAAACTCTCTAAATATCCCCACAAAAACCCTATCTACATGAAGGGTGAATTTTATTTCCCCTTTGTACATCACACAAGGAAGAACTGTCTACATCTCAAGTAAGAATAATGAAGAAATTGCAGCCAGAAGGAATTAGGGAATTGGAGGAAATTAAAGAACTTGGTCAAGTTTCTAAGAATGAGCAGCTCAGACAGAAGGGCAAGTTGTTTTTTTTAGTTTTTTTTCCTTTTCCTGATATACTGAGTGGCACGGTTTTTCAGAAAGTCCATGAGTGCAGTGTCTGTCTCTATCCACACTGTAGCCCCATGCCTCATGTCACCTGTGTCTTCAGTACTTGCTGAATGAATGAATACACATGGGTGAGTCTTCTTGAACTACCCAGAATAAAAAACTACATCAAATATATTTACTGATAGAATCTGGGTGTGCCACTCACTCTACAGTACCCAGGCATGAGTTCTAGGGCAGATACAATGACCTACTTTCTACAAAGCTAGACTGGAGTCTTGAGGCAGGGCCACACAATTCCCCAGATAACCACCAGGGGGGCCTCACAGAGGGCAGAGACAGGAAGCCATCAGGTTCTTAGTGACAGCAGATTCTTGAAGCGGGGCTGGTTCTCCCTCATTCCCACAAGGAATGCAAGGGCTTTGACTGTGTCCCATTCCATATACCCTCTGAGACTGGGCCACAGTCCTGGCTGAGACCTCCTTTTCTGATATGTAAGGGATTTAGGTTCCATCCCTGAGTTCCATCCCTAGCACCAGGTAAAATGAGGTCTGGTGATGACAATAGCTACTGTGGGACTGTGACAGGGATAAGAATGGGAAATAATTTGTTCTTTGTTATAGTATCTGAAATGTTCAGTTTTTCTGTTAAATCTGGGAAACCCAAGGCTGGGAGAAAGGGGTACCTGGGAGGGAGTGCAATCTAAGAAGGCTCCCTCCCAAACCACAAGGGAGTGTCTAACGGGACCTGAAAGGCACTGTGATCCTGCAGTGATTTCTGATCACACTCTTCTTGGGGCCCAAGCTCTAGGACAAGCTTCTCTGATAAAGAGGGATGTGAAGTAAGAGGACCAGGCTCTCGATGCAAACAGCAGCAAGAACCAGCACCTGAAAAGGTACTGCTGAAGGTTAGGAGACTGAGGAACAGGTTGTGTGGCTTGCTCGGATCTTCCCATCTCTAGTCATCCCTGAATGTGTTATGAGGAAGTTGTGGGTACCCTGCTGCTTTTCACCCAACACTTGAAATCAGGGGCTGGTTGGGGATGTAGCTCAGCTAGGAGAATGGTTCCCGAGCATGCACAAATCCCCAGGTTCCATTCCTAGTACCAGGTAAAATGAGGCATGGTGGTGCACATCTGTAACCCCAGCACTCAGGAGGGAGAGGCAGGAAGATTAGAAGTTCAAGGTCTAGCTTCAGCTACACAGTGAGTCTGAGGCCAGCCTGGGCTCCATGAGACTGTCTCAAAATAAAAACTGAAAATAATTCATTGAATCAATGCTCTCCAACTTAGTGAGTTTTATTATAATTTATTATTAACTAGTTTCACTCCACTATTTCCTATGCTACAGAGTGAATGGTCAGTCACAAATAAAAACATGCATGGGTAGAGAGGAAGAAAGGAAGTTCCCTCAGATCTGAACTGGAGGAGATGGCCATACTACAAGGGATACATTTATAGTTCAGTGTGAAAAGTTAGTCCCTGGGTATTAGTGAATGAGCCATGGCCAGTCTTTCCTGAAGGTTAGCAGAACAGAGGTAGATATAACATTTTCACAAGTGAACAAAAGGGTGTGGGGTGTTCTTTGTCACGAGGGTCCATTCCTCCACCTCCTGCCTCTGACTCTCTCACTTACAGTTGTTATGGTTTGGATCGTAAATCTCTTCCATGTGTTGAAGACTCGGTCATCAGTCTGTGGTACTAGAGGGAGTTGAGATCTTTAAGAGATGGAGCTTTGTGAGAAGAAGTTAGGTTATTTGGGATGTACTTTGAAGGGGGTATTGGGCCTCTAGCCCCTTCCTCCCCCCCCTTATTCCCCCTCTTACTTTCTGCTTCCTGGCCTCCATGAGGTGAGCAGCTTTGCTATACCATTCACCCCTATCATGATGTTCTATCTTACTACAGGGCAGCCAACAACCATGGCCTGCAACCTCTGGAACTGTGAACCAAAATAAATTCCTTTCTCCTTGTGAGTTGATTGTTTCAGACATTTTCGTTGGAACAAGGATCCAACCCATATAACCATTTCCTACCCCTATCCTTTCCAGCTCTGATCATGCGGCCAGGGCTGGGCTAACTTTCATGGATGCTCACCTGTTTTGGATGCAGCCTCTGCAGCAAAGTCAGCAGCAAACTTCTTGAGGACCTCTGCACTGTCTTCCTTCACAAAGAGGCCAATGAAGTTGGAGGAGGTGTAGAGCTCCAGAGGCAGAGGGGCTGAGAACTTACACTTCCATCTGCTGACAGTGGTCTGCAGGGCTTCCCCCAGGGCATCCACCTTGCTGTCTTCGCACTGGTGGTAGAAAACAAGCAGGCTCCATTACAGACCAGGAGACAGAAAAGCCTGCAACTACTTAGCATTGAGCACCAGGTCCCCAGAGAGCAGAGGTTGATAATGCAATTAGTTAATCAGCATTCCTGTCTGCGAGGGAGGGAAGAAATACAAGCTCTCTAGTACCTAGACACTGATTATCCAGTGGGCCGATGAAACTGGGGAATGCATCATGACCTCTCTTCTCTATCTTTGGCTCTGCTGTGGCCCCTGGGAACACTCCCAGAATGCCACATGACTGGTCAAACAGAAAAAAAAAAAAAAAAAAAAAAAAAGCCAGGGTTGTGGTGTCACAGGCCTGGGAAGCACTGAGGAAGTAGAGGCAAGAGGAAGTTCAAGGTCAGCTTGGGGTATATGAGACCCTGCCTTGGGGGTCAGGGGAAGAGCATAGGGAGATGACTCAGTGGGTAAAAGCACTTGGTTTGCAAGCGTGAGGACCTGAGTTTGAATCCCCAGGACTCACCCACCTCAAAAGCCAGGCATGCCTGCAGCTGGAAGCCATCACTAAGGGGCTGAACAGGTGGATCCTAAGAGCTTGCTGGCCAGTCAGCCTAGCCAAAAAGGTGAGCTTCAGGTGCAGTGAGAGACCCTGTCTTTAGGGAATAAGGAAGAGAGAGAGGAGGACACTGACATTAAGAAAAAAAGGAACAAACAAACAACCAGCCGTAACAGGAATGCAGAGCCTCTGGGCTGAGCTGCTGCATGCTTTCTGGGGCCCCTTAGAAGACCACAGTCTCCACTCCCAGTATCCTTGGGAAGTGAGGCTGCAGAGCTGTGATGACATCATCCTCCTACCCTCTTCAGAGCACTGAGAGGAAGAATGAGTGTCTCTACACCTCTGTCTGCTTTTGTGCAAGATCCTGGGATGACTAAGAGGAAGTGATAATCGATTTAATTTTCAGAGTGACTGGCAAAAGAGAAGGTGTTAGGAACATGTTTTCTACCTGCGGAGGTGGGTGGGGGAAGAGATGGGGAGGCCTGAGGGGGAAAAAGCAAAATGTATTTTTAAAATTGTTTTAAGATGCTACCTGCTTTGTATGGATCACATGTGGGTAAGGCTACTCTCCTCCATCACTACAGAGAGCAGAAGTAGGCAACTTAATGCAATATAAGGAGGAGGATTTGATTTGGTCCCCAAATAAGGCTTCCAATAGCTAGAGTACGGATGAGGAACTGTGGCAGGCGAAGGGTATCTCCCTGTCTGTTGAGAGCTCTAGCTGGTGTCTGCGGGGGTGAGGTGGCGTTCCCTGTCTATAGGCCACTCTCTATGTTTTCTCTCTCTGTCCTAAGAGTTAGCCAGACATGGTTCCAGCATTTCAGAGGGTGAGAGTTCAAAGCTCAGGAGTTCAAGGTTATTGTTGGTGATATATAGAGCTTAAAGCTAGCCAGGGTTACATGAGACTATCAAAAACAAAAACAAAACAAAAGACCAAGAGGCGGGAAACATAGCTTAATTAGTAAAGTGTCTGCCATGCAATCATGAGGATGAGTTTCATTTCCAGAACCTACATAAAAAAGTTAGACATGGTAAAAGTTAGCATTGTAATCCTAATACTAGAGAAGCAGAGACAGGAAAATCCCTGGGCTCACTGGCAGCCAATCTAATCAGTGAATTCCAGACCACAAAACAAGGTGGATGGCTCCCGAGGATATTCTCTCTCTCTCTCTCTCTCTCTCTCTCTCTCTCTCTCTCACACACGCACGCACGCACGCACGCTCGCTCGCTCGCTCACTCACTCACTCACTCACTCACTCACAAACATGTTGTGATTACTGGTGTATGAGGATAGACAGTGAACATGTCTGACGTTCCATTAGTGACTGTTCCAGGTGCCAGATCAGACTGGAGGGTGGGGCTTCCAGTTGGAGAAGGGCATGGTTGTCTTGATGCACCAAACCCAGGATGCTCCAGGCCCCAGCAGGTATCAGGAAGGTAGAATTGAGGTGAGAATCTCACTGTGGGTCACACTGACTCCTGGGAGCTACCTCCCCCTCCAACCCCAAGTGTGGAGAGCCCCTGAACATTTCCACAATTTTCCTGAACTGCTCCCTCTTTCAGTCCAGGTCTCCAGGGACTGGCTGGGACACTGGAGAGGGAGCAGGGACTGCAGCTCACCATGAAGAACTGGCAGAGGGTGATGTGGGGGAAGATGTTGTGGGCTTTGTTCTTTCCGCAGATCTGCTTCGACTGCTGCCAGAAGTCGGAGAGCTTCTGTGCTAAGGGGCCTGTGGGGCGGAGGTAGAGGACGTACTCCCTGGGCAGGGGGTCATCAAGGAAGGGGTCACCGACATGGGAGAAGAGCCTGTGAGAGAGAAGATACCCAAGAAGGCCTTAATGGAGAGCAAGGAAAGAGAAGGGAAAACAGAGAGGCAAGCCCAGCCCCTCCCATGCTCCCACCCTGGGACCACATGGAGAAGGGTTTCCATTTGTGCAGTAAAAATCCACCCCTTGAAGGTCTCACAATTCCAATCAACTCTCAGATGGAGAAACTTATGTTCTCTTGCGTGTGGTATTGCCTCCCCATCCCATAACTCCCTAAAAAAATCCCCAAAGCTGCTCTCCAGAAAGCATCCTTGGGTTAACTCCAAATCCTCCAAATTCCCTGCCACACACCCTGTCCCTCAGCTCAGTCTGTGACGGATCCTGTGAGCCTCCAAAGACGAGGGAAGCTCCAGGAAGGTGGTCTGTGGCCGCCCAGCATCTACATGTCTATGGTGAATCCCGAAGTGATTGTCAGGGCTTAGGTAATATGAATGATCTATCTGGTAAAGATTTTGAAGGCCTTTAAACAGCTCCAAGGAGAAACACACACACTGAGGACCAGGGCAGAGGAGGCAATTGACTTGATAAATGGGCTTGTCACATTTGGCTCATCCTCTCCTGGAAGGGTCCATTAGAGAGACTGCACACCCACTTATCACAGATACTCAGAGTTAATTATATGCTATTTTCTCAATTTATTTATTTCATACCAACCAGTCACATGCTGACTGAACACTTCTTCCTCCTGTGGATGCCAAGGCTTTTTGTCTGGAAGAAGAAATCAAATATCTATTGTTAGTATTTTTAGCTTTTCTCTCAGCTCTCTACTACATAGGCAGGAGTGGGCAGGGGGTGACACGGAGCCTTCCGTCCCTGCACTGGCCTGTGTTGTGGGAGAGATGCCTGCAGCAGGTTCTCTGTGAGGGTCACAGGAAGGCATATGGAAGTTAAGACTTGCCATTAATTTCCATGTAATTAGCACTGGATTTGCATGCAGCCACACATCCCATGCAGTCTATTTTCAGCTGTTTCCACATTAGGGTTTTATTTTCACTTCCCTAAAAGTTGTCATGTCTTTGCTTTTCCTCCTCGTTTTTCACCCACTCATTTCTAATGACCCAGATCCCCTACAGAGCAGATTCTTGTTCACAGCCCCGTAATGGAATGGGTGAAGAGGCAGGGCCAACGGTTAGGAAGACATGGCGCTAAATGTCTTTAGGGAAATGTAAGTCTGGATAAACTCATTGCCTTCTTTGAACTTCTCCAGCCACCCATGCTGGATCCACCATCTCCAACTACTGTACATCTCTTGGGACCAATAACACTGGACAAATGAGGAGTGCCTCCAGCTTCTGGAGGGACAGCTTAAAGCCCTCTTGATGGCAGGTCAGTATGCTTACAGCAGTAACACCCCTGTGCACAAGCTTATCAGGAGCTCTTCTGCAATTCTGGGTCAAATCTGCAAGAGCCACAAAGCTCTGGATTCATATCCAGCTTTGGTGTGGATCCATCCTTCCAGGCATTCATGCACACCTGCTTCCAGGTTCTTAGTAACTAACTACTAGCTCTCCAGTCTGTCAGCTCTGTGAGGGGCACTGGGAACATAATGGGTGCAGAAAGGATTTTTCTGGGAATGCCTTCTGTTACAATAAGAATCTTACTTAATCTTGTAACCAAAGTTAATCTTACCTTTTGAGATCTTTTAACACCATCTCAGCTTGTTTATAATGCAAACAAGGGGGCTGAAGAGATGGCTCAGCAGTTAAGAGTACTGGCTGCTCTTGTGGAGGACCTGGGTTCAGTTCCCAGCACCCACATGGTGGCTAACAACCGTTTGTAACTCCAGTTCTAGGGGATCCTATGACCTCTTCTGACTTCTGAGGGCTTTGCACAACACTGGTGCACTTACATACATGCAGGCAAAACACTCAGACACATAAAATAAAAATAACAAATAAAACATAAAAAATGTAAACATGCTTACTAGGCCCTGTGCTCCTTTTGTATGTGTGCATGTTGTGAAAATATCAGCACCAAAAGCAGCAAATAGCACTGGAAGCAATGAATTATCCCCTGTTTATGCTGCAATCAACAGGCAGGATTACACTGATAACATCTGTTGCTGGTTGTGAATGCTGTTCTGGGTCAGTAGGGAGGTCAGAAAGGGAAAATTGTTCTCTGATAAGACAAAGTTTCTATTTCCCTTCCCATGCCATGCTGGATGCACTGTTTCAATAAATACATAGTCAGTCCTTTGTTCAGGGAACAGTTCTGAGAACACTCAGAAGAAACAAGTTCCCATAGCAGATTGGGATCACTCCTGGTTGTAACCCATGCCAAGAGGGTCAAGCTTTGCTTAGGTATTGTGGTAATGTAGCATCTCTCCTTCACAAGTGGGAACAAGAGTCATATGGTCCCTGTCCTCCTGGAGTTGGGTAAAGTAGAAATGAACTGTAAGATAACCACTGACTGCATGGTTGGCAAGTGTAATGGAGGGAAAGCCTGAAAGCCTTAGCAACAAGAGCAGGGAAATCCAAGGAAGTGGCCTTTGAATAACAGGATGTAGACTCTTGGTGGGGTGGTGGTGGGAGACACCCAGGAGGTCTACTCAACATTGCAGTGTAAAGATGGAACACACTGATGTACACCAAGCCTTGGACAGTGCCTGATACATCACAGGTGGCCAAGAAATTATAATTTTCAAAACAGGTGATCAATAAATGATGATGCTTGCCTCCTTATACTGTACTGATTTGGAGTCCTTGGGAAGAGGAAAGGGAAGGAATTCAAACAGAACTGATGCCTTTTCCAAGTCTCCTTTTCTTCTTTGTCTGTGGAACCCAAGTCTTCCTTCCTCCCACAACTCCTCTATGGACCAATCAGAATGACCAGTGCTGTGATCATCTGTGAGTTCAGTTTCTTCAGTCTATCAAGGAAAACTCTGGTGGAAAGAATGAAGAAATTTGCTCACAGTAGCCTGACTCAGGTGCTGCCTAGTGAAGGCTCTGCAGTTCAGCTACTCAGCCAAGTCAGGCCTTGCTTTCCCGACCTGAAAACTGCAGCCCAGCTCCCGTCTGATCAGGGCAGAGAAGTCTGCTCAGTGTCCTGGGGATAAGTCTACTCACAATAAGATCAAGTCCTACTTCAGTGAGGAACCCCATGGGAACAGAAACTTGTCAGAAACATCTAGAAGCACAGCACACCCTCACCCTCTCTCTTGCACATTCACAGGGTGTTCCTTGTTGCTGCCCAGGCAGAGGCCTCACATCTCCCTTTTTCAGTAGAGAAGCCATGTACGCAGGAAAGTCCACCAGTCATGGACTGGAAGCTATGAAACACGGAAGGATTAAATTCACCCCTGAAAAGGACCCATTGTTCCAAAAACAATCAGGAGGAGGAAATCTCATTTTCGGACACAGACAATGTGCTATTTATATAAAGCATCCAATTTCTTATCCCCTGCACCCTTCCCCCAGTGAAATATATCTGACTGAAATTTAATTTATTTTCAGAGTAGCTATGAGAATCCTCTGGAAATGAAAGATCTAATTAAGTTATGGTCTCCCTAACTCAAAAGACACATTTTGGAGAGGGTTCAAAGGAAAAAACTGAGAAAGATAATTAAAGGTTTGGGTGTGATAAGGTGGTGATAAAAGGTTAAGGAAACCCAAATTCTTCTTTCCAGAGAAGACAAGACTGAGAGGCCTTTGCTTTTGTGGAAGGTTATCACACCCAACATTCCTCTGTAGTGAAGGTTGGCTGTAAGTTTTGGCTGCAGCACAATAGGTTCGTGAGTCACCAGCAAGAACTTTCTGGAAGCAATCAATATGGCTTAAACATATATGTATGTGTGCCTTAAACATATACATATAAAATATATATGTTATCTATCTATCATCCATCATCTATCTATCTATCATCTATCTATCTATCTATCTATCTATCTATCTATCTATCTACCTATCTATCATCATCTATTATCTATCTAGTTTGTTTTGTTTTTGAGACATGGTCTCACTATGTAGCCCTGCTGGCCTGGAACTCGCTATGTAGACCAGGGTGACCTTAAACTCACAGAGATATATCTGCTTCCTCTCAAGTGCCAGGATCAAGCTGTCCTCCCTCCCTTCCTTTCCTTAGGAAGGGGAGGTCAGAAGACAACTTGTAGCAGTCAGGTCTCCTTCCACCATATGGCTCTAGGAATCAAACTCAGATCGCCAGGCGTTGTGGAAAACACCTTTACCCACTGTGCCATCTTGACAGCCCCTAAACATATTTTTAAAAGTTTCTAGAAAGTATCAATCTGAAATCAAGGAATGAAATCCCCCAGGCAGGGAAAACCCTGTTCTTACAGGGCTTGGGGCCCCACAGCAAACTGGCTATGATTTGGATTGAGCCTGTTCCCAGAATTCTGCCCATAGAACAGACAGACACAGAGCAGCAGCACAGGCCTCCAGGCTCAGCTCAGCTCAGCTGAAGAGACACTTACCACAGAGCACCACCCCCATGGCTCACCCCTTGGGGCCAATGCCAAGGGCAAGTGGGAGTGTGTGGGGTACAGCTCAGTTGAGCAAGCATCTGCTCCCCTCCGAGCAACTCAGAAGCTGGCAGAGGGTTGACATCAGAGGCTACCTGAGATCTCTGGCAGATAGAGGAGTATCCCTTCAGCCTGCCATGCCAGGAGCCCTACCGCTGGATCTCAACAGCACATGGCAGCAGTGGACACTCTCACCTAGGACCAGTGGGACAATGTGTGAGCCTTACATTCTGTCACGTGGAGCATAAATCTGACTTTGGATCCTGGTCCCAACTTTCACATCTATTGTTCATTTATATAGCTGGCTATAAAAAAGTGCCAAGTCTCTTGCCTACCAAGCAGGGGTGAACAGCACACACAGCACAAAGCTAGGGCTGATGACACATCAGACAGGCGGCTTAGCCACTGGGAGGAGTCAGGAGTGCTACCAAATGCCTGTGCACCTCTCCACTTAGAGTCCTCCCCTCTGCTGGGAGTCCTGCTGTTGGCCCCAACTCTAGTGATCTTCAGTTCTTTGGGTTTGAAGATAGTTCGCCCCAAGGTCACAGGTTTATTTTCATACTTTTTTCCCCCCAGAGACAAGTTCTCACTATATAGTCCTGGCTGGCCTGGAACTCGCTATGTAGGCCAGGCTGGCGTCAAACTCAGAGATTCACCTGCCTCTGTCTCCGGAGTGCTGGGATTAAAGGCATTTGCCATCATGCCCAGCTGCTTTGTTTTTGAAACTATTCATGTGTTTGTTTATTATGTGGATGAGTGTTTTGCCTGAACATAAGTGCACCCACAGAGGCCAGAAGAGGGTAACAATGGATCCCCTGGACCCGGAGTTACAGACAGTTGTTAGCCACCATGTAGATGCTGGGAATGTAACCCAGTTCTCTGGAAGAACAGCCAGTGCTCTTAACCACTGATCCATCTCTCCAGTCACTAGCTTCTTTGTTTTCTTTGTTTTTTTTCCTTATTTTTTTATTTTTTGAGACAGGGTCTCCCTGTAGCACCTGATGTCCTGCCTGCCTCTGCCTCCCAAGTGCTGGGATTAAAGGTGTGCACCACCACGCACGGCCTGCTTCTTTGTTTTTAAAGATAAGATATCAACCCCCACCCCCCGGGTGTTTGTGCCATGTGCATGTGGGTGTCCTCAGAAGCCAGAAGAAGACATCAGATTCCTTGGAGTTATAGGCAGTTGTGAGTTGCCTGATGTGGGGTGGGGGGCTGGGGGCTGGGAACTGAA